AGCAGAGGGGCGAACCAAGGATCTTGTGCACGGGAGGTCAGTGATGTCGAACTAAGCGCCCAACATCGGCCAGTTGAGCTAAGCGCTCATCATCGAACACTTAGGGTTTTTTCGCGTATTTCCTCATTTTTTTAAACTTTGAAGTGAAAGAAAACGATGATCAGATCAGTATTGAACCCGAGATGGTGCGATAGCCATACTGACAACCATAAGTGTTCCACTCAGTAAAGAAAACAACATGGATTTGAACCTAGGAAGGTCTGAGCACCGCACCGACACCTATACCTCTCATCCAGACAAGAGACTTACGAATTCGGTGAAAACATGTCAAGTGATTAGCAAAAACCAACATTTATTGCATCCATTTCTTCTGGCTCAAATTTACAATGTTTAGTATGTTTGACTTATTATTTGTCACCCTCACTCCATTGATGAAGAAAGAAATTTACTTGGCTTCCTATCAAGCTCTAAATAACATAGTTTGGCATTTCATGTTCTTACAGCAAAGTGCAGGACGTATAAAGTATACAAAATTTTAGGAATTGCCATGTGGTAAATGAAGACATTTACGCGCATGTTCCTATAGTCAGTTTAATGGCGTTGGAGGATTATTTTGTCTGTTTAGACTTAGCTAACGTATTTTTATTATCATACATAACAACATTGTAATAGCTTCTACAAAACCAATAGTTCCCTTGGAACAGTCATCACTTTTCTTATTTTGTAATTGAGTTTAAGCACTTACCTATGTAAGTTTACGGAGGCGTATGACATTCTGTTAAAATCGTTCGCTTTTCTTTGTGGCAAAAAAATCATACTCGTGTTTAAATGTGACATTGTCCATTCAACACTAAACTTATACAGTTACGATGCGCTTTGACAGAAGAAATGGTTTAGTTAGCGAAAACGTGCTTATAGTATTATAACAGACTTCAAGTGTAATGAATGTAATCGTCATTTTTATCTTCTCGATGTAATCAATGTAATTCTCATTTTATATGAACAAAATGTCAAAAAATCGTGGGGTTGTCTTGTAGACTTTTAGTAGACTTTTTCTAACATATTTTTTACTGGATTACGAAAGTGGTGTGTTTACAATTTTTAAAGACTAAACTATAAAGAAGAACTTACTGTTTTAGGAAAATGTACAAATAAAGTATATTGGAAATCCTTGAGGTACAAAACGAATCTAACAATATTGTACTTCTTATCTTATTAAATACCTGATTCCATAGTTAAGCTTTGTCAAAGCAAAAACTTTGTTTTCAGAATTTCGTCTATGACATTAGACAATAGAGTTCAGTGGAAAAACTTTTAGATTATAATCAGTCTTCTGGGAGCTAAGTTACTGACTGTTTTGTATATACTTCTATAGCTTTAATTTCTGCTCTGAGTTCTTCGAATAGCCTCCAGCCAAGGGAGTTACGAGCTTACGTAGACTGACCATGTTCATTCTTTACATTCATAATCAGTCTTGCCGCACTATTCAACAACTTTTGGAGCCTTTCACAGTAATTTTCACGAGTTTGTCTCAAACCTCACAACAATAGTCAAAATATGGCTCGATTAAAGCGGATTAATACCAAAACCTAACTGCTTCTATTAATAAATATTCTTATTTTCTTTACAGCTTCAATACCTAACGATATTTTATTTGTAATATATATTCAAGGTGTTATTTCCAGTTCAACTGTTTGTCTATTTGAACTCCAAGAGCTTTGGGACATTTTACTCATTTGACTTTCTTCTTATTGATCGTAAGGGTTGGTTTGATATCAACTCTATTTAAATTTGCGTCAAAAGACGATCAAAATGTATTCTGTCTTCACACGGCTTTGTAAACTTACATAGGTAAGTGCTTAAACTCAATTACCAAGTAAGAAAAAGTGATGACTGTTCCACGGGAACTACTGGTTTTTGTAGAAGCTATTACAATGTTGTTATGTATGATGATAAAAAATACGTTAGCTAAGTCTAAACAGACAAAATAATCCTCCAACGCCATTAAACTGACTAAGGAACATGCGCGTTAATGTCTTCATTTACCACATGGCAATTCCTAAAATTGCGTATACTTTATACGTCCTGATCCTTGCTGTAAGAACATGAAATGCCAAACTATGTTATTTAGAGCTTGATAGGGAAGCCAAGTAAATTTCTTTCTTCATCAATGGAGTGAGGGTGACAAATAATAAGTCAAACATACTAAACATTGTAAATTTGAGCCAGAAGAAATGGATGCAATAAATGTTGGTTTTTGCTAATCACTTGACATATTTTCATCGAAATCATAAGTCTCTCGTCTGGATGAGAGGTATAGTTGTCGGTGCGGTGCTCAGACCTTCCCACGTTCAAATCCATGTTGTTTTCTTTACTGAGTAGAACACTTACGGTTGTCTGTATGGCTATCGCACCATCTCGGGTTCAATACTGATCTGATCATCGTTTTCTTTCACTTCAAAGTTTGAAAAAGGATGAAATACGCCAAAAAAACTTAAGCATTCGATGATGAGCGCTTAGCTCAACTGGCCGATGTTGGGCGCTTAGTTCGACATCACTGACCTCCCGTGCACAAGATCCTTGGTTCGCCCCTCTGCTGACACACTTAGGTGTACGAGGCGGATGTGGAAGACAGAAAGTTGAAGTGAGGAACAAGTGTTCGGAGGTAAGAAAGGGAATATTAGGGCGTTCTGTTTGCTGTTGGGTTTCCTGACTTTTCAAAATTTAAAAATAACTCCCTGATCACAGGAGTCATAAAAATTTGAGCAAAAGACTTAGTTTTTTAAGAGTGGTTTTGCATGGGATCCTATCTTTTTTCTTCGCTCTCCTCCTTCCTCCTTCTCATCGGAGAGCGAATTTTTCTGAATTTATACTAAGTGTCGCATTCCATTCTCTAAAAACTCAGTAATAGAAATGCCATGTTTGCACTGTTAATCAGCATTATTTCCTCATTTCTTAGCTCAACCTAGATCTAACTTTACCTTATTGCAGACAGGGTTTGAACCTCCACTTTGCAACCTCGAAAGGTTGTGTCTTGTAGTAGACCAGAGAGTTCGTTGGAGACTAATGCTCAATTTAATGTGCCATTCCTGCTTTGTAATAATTATGCAAAAAAAAAATGATGACCATTAAAGGTCTCGAAGCAAGATTATGGAAGAGCTTCGAGTCAAGGAGAATGCAAGAAAGCAAATATCATTATCGTAAAAATAAGTCGTACAAAATGTGTTGGTACAAAGAGTTAAAGTGTAGTAGTTTTTATAGTATGTTATATAGATAGTCACATACAAACATTCATAACATTCACATTTACAGCATATTTCTTACGATAGTGATATTAAGATTTCTAGTTGTGGCTACAGTCAATAGTATTTTTATTGTTCCATTTCTTTTTGTCGTTGATAAATATGACGATGATCCATTTATGGTTTGCCGTTGACGCATCAGACTTTCAACCAGTTGATAACCTTTTTGAAAAGATCCAAGAACGAGCTATGAAGAACTTACGGGCCTTCTTATAGTAGGAAATGCATTTCGTTATCGTTCAGCTTTTGCAGAGTATTCTTCCGGAATGTCGTACAGATTTCACGCGTCACACTCTCCAATTGAACAACATGGTTTGTGACACCAAAAGTATGTCCACCATAGATTTACAAATTATTATTTTGGCTGCATAGTTGACGACGTAGCCACATACATCTCTAAATGCTGTGAAGAAACCAGCTGTCATGAGACACACAGTGTACAGTCGTGGTGGCGTCAGTTCTATACAACATTTGGTCCGTTGTGTTACAGCAGCTCTCGATGTCAAAACTTCCAAATAAAGTGTACGCTTATCACATGCTTTGATATGGCGCAGAATATCCAATAACATATGGTTTTTTTCTGGAAGACATCGTTCTAACTCCGCTTCGATAGTTTATAATTGTGTAATCCTCGGTAAGAATTTCTTCCATTCATCTGCCAATTCTTCCTCGACGTTAAGGTTGACGTGTTTCGCCCTCCACGTGGTCTTTCATCTTAACTCTTTCTGTAAATTGTTTTATATCGAAGTTATCGCTCCACTAGTCGAATTTTACTTGTCCCTTGCTCTGCCATTGTGCTTGCTGCTGTTGTCTCTGCTCACATTTTATCTGGGTTGTTTCATCTGTACATTTATGTGCTTTCACGCTTATTATGTACGGGTGTATAAAACAACTGTACATACCATACATTGTATGCACAAGCTTATACGTTAGAATTTTAATGATGCACAAATAATTATGCTTTGGGGATTTACGATTGAGTTAAAGAGCCACTGGTCATTAAACTAGTTTTAATTTTCTTCTTGTGGTTATTGTGATAGTACTGCATGGGGAAACGTATTTTCAAATCCCAGAAGCGTAATTATTTGCACAGCCATCGAAATTCCAACGTATGGTCTTGTGCATACGATTATCGTCTTTGCAGATGTTTAATGCATCCTGTCTATGTATATAACTGAACAAATTTAAATGTCTACCTTTATCAATATTGTTGCCAATGAAGTGTCAGGCGTGAAACGGATTCTCAAAATATTAGAGCCCAACAAACAATTTTGAACATAGCCATAAACAATTTGGTTTTATGAAAGGTTTTTTTATACACCCTACCTATATGAAGAAGAGAACATATTTCATTCTTATAAAAGTGTTATTTGCTTCGTGTTTTTAATAACAACAAGGCATCATGGAAAACACTTGTGAGATTAAAAATCAACTATTTCATTTCTTGAACTTATAAAAACTGAGAGTAGCTAAGTATTTGACAGGTTCCATTAATCAAAGAAATTTTAAAGAAATTAATAATAGTATAGTACAATAAACCTCTAGGCCTGAAGCTACCCCCTCCCCTCATGCACAAGCCCTCCATAGAAAACCCCACCTGCGTATCCAAGCTGCTTGTAACAACTATAAATTTTGACACCTCACAAATCACAAACCACAAGAGAGTTTCGCAGATATCTACCATTAAATAAATTCCACTTTTTTCAATGTTGCTCAGTATTTACTAAATGATTTGACAATATCGATGCTCAAATATACTCTAGTGAATAAATCTATAAAATATAACTCTTTCACAATATCCTCTGAACTAGTAAGTTAGATTTACAATATCCCCTGGACAAACACCAGCTTTCTGCGTCAAGGGTACCGAGTAAGATTCACACACACCAAGAAGTACACGACATCAAATAACTCATTGTGCACAATATGGTTTTATCTAGAGGCGGTTCGGGCAAACAATCTCCTTTCCTTCGACGTGATGGCATTATTGACAATGACACGAAGATGATGGAAACAATTCAGCACTTCAACCGTGAAAGTAAAAACAACATCTAAAGATAACCATTTAAAAATGATTAACAGACAGTACTAACCCACAACATAAAGCGTAACAGAGCTCTGTGATGGCATTATATGCTTATTGTGTGATCCTTTTAATTTATAGAATAAAAATAAAAAAACATGTGGGCTGATTGGTGTAGATTCGTAAGATCTTAGCTCAACAAATCAATCAAAACTATCACACAGTCAAATAGAATTTGCAAATCGATCATAAATACATTTTACAGGAAAAATTAAAACATTTGTTTTTAATTTGTCTGTTTCGCATTATTGTTATTTTATGAAAGAAATAAAAGATGTTTTTCGTGTTTCCCCTGGCTTACGCAAACCTCGGAGACGTTTGTGAGAGCTCTCGAGCAGGTGCAACCCTCGATCTTCGGTCTCGGGCTTGGACTGATCAGTTCTCGAATTCTCTCTAAAGGTCTCCTAGGTTTGCATAAGCCTGTGCATACACAGTAAACAACTTTTATTTCTTAAATAACATCAAGTGTTTTCGTACTCACTTGGGTCAAGTGCGTTTCTCTATTGCTACCTTTTGTTGACGACTTTTGCTGCTTTTACACCAGGCCTGCTTCCCATAGGAATGCTGCAACAAGTATCATGTACTCATATGATAAGTAATGACATAGATAATTATGAAGATAGTGTGCATCTCATATTACCTAGAATTTTTTTTACTTGCTGTAGAAGCCTTCTGCGTCATCATGCTATGGGAGCTTTTGCTCATCCCTAGACTACCCCCGCTCGTCGATTTTTTAGATGAGGTTATCGTTGGATTCGTCTCGTAAAGATAGCTGCATGATGCTAGATCTGGGAGAGCTGACATAATAGGGGACATTTTTTAAGTGCTGTATTTGTTTGCATGTGAGTGCTTTACCTGCACCAGCCTTGTTGACGACTGTTTTACCTTAAAAGCAGGCACAAAAACTATGTTCATCATAATGCATGAACCTTTGAACAACATCTCAATGACGTACATTCTTTATTTGACGATTTCTTTGCATCTTGTCGGCAATATTTCTTGATGTTCGCTAAAAAAATTAAACAAAAATTAAATATAAACAGCAAAGATATAACAAAAAATCAGATCCGTGTCAAGTCACTAAACACCATACGCCATTTCCTTTGAATAACATGAAAAACTCAAACTTTTAACGAAAAATCTATTTTGGAAAACAAGACAACTAAAAAATGCGATGTACTGTTTCAGTCATCGATTTGTGTCTCAGAGTAATAATTCTTCGTTTACCCGCTCCTCCTTTCTTTATCACTTTCTCTTCTTTCAATGAAGTTTTTTTCTTTTTGTCTGAACCTTGGCGAGCAAAAGATATACCATTGCGTTCTTTTGCCTCCTAAACAAAATCGCGAAAATAAAATGACATTTTCACAAAAGTAAATCTTTGCCTCGACAACGGTAGACACGTGTTTGCAGAAGACAGTGGTCGTAAATATAATAGATATGATGGTATCACTCCTTGCATGCTGAGAAAATTTTTAAAACCATTGTAACCTAACAGTTGGGCAGCAACAAAAAATTAAACTGACATAAAAGGATCAACGCCTTACCATCAAGGCTTCCTCCTCTTCCTTCTTCTGATCCACTAAATCTTCTTCAAACATAGACCGATGTGTAGACTATAAAAAACGTTCATATTCAACCGTAAGTAGCTTTGAAGAATGAACACAATTTCGAAATTATTCATACAACATCTCTTTATATTCATAATATACAACTCTAAGTAACGTTGAAGACTAAAACATTTATACAGTCAAAGTAATTTCGACTGCATTAATTATATCTAACAGTTAAATATAACAAACAAAACTTCATACCGTTTCCATAACAATTTCAATTTTGTCAAGTCTAAGAGCAGCCTGCCATTGGAAATAGTAGAGTTTAAATCATAACAAATATTACAATGATAAGAGAGACTTATGATGTACAGCATTTGAAGTGCTTTATAGAACAAACAGGGTTTCAAATTTACTTAACTAGGGTTCAAGATAATGAAAAATTTAAACGAGCGCTGTCAACGTCTATGGTTGTGTTGTTGTCTAAGTTGCTTCTATACATGCTGGAGGCACGCTATGCCAGTAACGGTCAAGTTTCTGTACCTCTCTAACAGCAGCACAAACATCAGGATCCTTTTCATCATTAAGTAACTGTCGAACACACAACTCCAAGCGTTGCAACAAGCTTCGATCCATGGGTAGTTTCAAAACTGATTTCAGTTTAGGCAGTAAGTGACAGAAATGTAATCTAATGTTTATCACAGGATCCTACGTATGTATAAAACAAAAAGCAAATTACAATAGCATATGAAATTATGGTCGATGTTAGGGTTTCTTGGTGCAAGTCAAACTATCCCACATGATCACATTTAATGAGCCATTAACGGAGTAAAATACACTTACTTACCATTACCAATTCCAGAAAGAATGCAAAGAAATGTTCCTTAAAAAATTTTCTTGAAAATAATTCCAAAATATATGTACAAATTTTCATGAAAAGTAATCTATCTCTGTAACTTTTTCCCTTTCCGCATTCTGAAAAATAAAACGAAAACAATTGCTAAACAAACTCTGCTGACCGAAGAATAATCTTGAAAAGAAGTGAACTACCTTCAATGAAGCGGCAACACATTTCATCCCTCTGTTCCGCTCTTGCATTATTCCTTAAGAATATACACAATGTATATGCTGCAGCATGAGTGACAGGAAGGACATGCTGTTAATGAAAATGAAAAAAAACGCAGTAAATTGTTAGAGCAAAAAGTTATAGCATGGTAATGAAGTAAAAATGAATGGATTTGACATATGTACGTACATATCAGAGCTTAATGGTATCATAGAAGGATGGACATGGATGTAAAGGGATGTTAAAATGAAAGGACTCAATGAATAATGGATGTGAAGGTTGTGAATGCTAAAATATATGCGTTGAAACTGAGTAAAAGTACTAACGCTTCTATGGAGAACGTCAAACAAAACGGGGGTAAATTTATAGTAGATTTGATCCGAGGTAAAAGAATCAATGAAAGCCGAGAATTTCCGTAGAAGTTGTTCATGTATTCTCCAGTTCATGCACTGTGATACAGTATGTTCGCATGCTATGACAGGTGGTATGAGCTCTGATAGGTTGTTCAGCTAAAAAAAATAAAAATACTTCTTAAGATGGTATATAAGTACATACGATGGTACATAAGTACATAAATACTTATAGTTTTACAATAATACAAGCGTCTGAATTTCACGAAACGTTCAATCGTAATTCGATGGCAGTCATCACATGCGATACAAGAAGATGATGAAAGATGAGTGTAGAAAAATAAGAAGATGGATAAATGGAATATGAGGCAATTGTAAAAATGAAATGACGAGGTTTGACATATACCTTAGATTCATGTTGATTAGAACGACCACCATTCGACAAAATAGATAGAGTAACGTTAAGATTAAGTATTAGTCCTTCGAGAACCTAGAAAAGAAATCATTTTAAGAAAAGAAAATACTCAAAACTTTGCAAATCATGTCGATCTCAGACAACTCTTACTGGAACAGTTTCATCCATAAGTAAGATATGAAGTTCTGATTGCAAACATTGAGCTTTACTTCCTAAAAGTTTTATCACCTACAAAAGAAACACATTTCATTGGACATTTTTTGTCTTCACTCACAACCACAAAAAACTTGGATTCAAAAATACTTAAAATCAGATCTATACATACAAACATGTATCAGTGAATTAATTAAAGAAAAATAAATTAGTTTGGTCTTGTTTCAATAGCATTGAGCAATCTTGAATCTTATAAGGACACTTTCATAAGATGGAATAAAGTTCAACAAATAAAAATTTTAGAAATCTTTATTATTACATTACACATATACACATTTTAAAAACACACCTCGTGAAATCCACAAGAAACGCTTCTCCGTACAATGAAATTGCGGTCTGTGACAAGAGCATGGAAACAGGAGGCAAGATCCTTAGTAAAATCCTCGGCTCCACAAAAAGCTACCATTGCCTAAAATTGAGCATGTCATCATGGCACTAATGTCCCGAATACCAAAACACTTTTGTTATGAAAACCTTGATAGATAGAGTTTACATATAAGTAGCTTTGTCATACTTTAAAAATTCATTTTATCCAAAATACACAAACCGGAAAATTGAAAGCACAATTTTTTCGAATTTCAGCGCAACGGCTTTCCTCTAAACTTTCATTGTACGCGTTGAGTCTCTGAAGAAAATAATAAAATTCAGTAAAAAGCAACTTGTGATGGCATAGTTCAATCTTACGCAACTATTGTCTATTCCATATTTCTACCTGAAAATGATTAATCTTATTCTTGTTCTCTTTCAATCCGGACGAGCAAAGCTTTTGAAAATACTCGACGCACCATTTCTTTTGGGTATCCGTAAAATTTCCTAGAAAAGTACATGTTATCCGTTATCACTGACAAGTAATCTTCACGACAAAATGTTTCCACGAAGACATTCTCCATATGCATGTCTTGGCTATAAGTTACTGCAGTCACCATGAAAACATGTACGTATGGCAAACTCTTTGGTAACGTGACGATGACGGTATTTTCAATTGTCAGTAGAACGAATCAAACTTTTCGCTGTTTCACTCACACTGAAAATTCCTCTTGGCTTAGTTTTGGAAAGCGTCACTCGCTTATAACACCAGCACCATAAGGAACTTTACCACATAAAGGCACGGTGATAGTTTACTGCTTCAGTGTTTCAAACATTTATCATTGTTAACTTTATAAAATAAAATTTACCATTTAAGCCATAGCACAATTTTCCAAACAATTTTGACACAACAATTAGCGTATCATCTTTCTTCCTTTTCAGCGCTAACTCGCAAAAGTTTTGTACCAAGGGAACAATCGTTTTACCACTGTTCTCTAAATGATAAAAATCTCAAAACTAACTAAAAGCAGATAAACGGTAAGCACATTATTATCGACTCATAACACGAGTTGCTGGCAAATGGCACCAAAAACAATTGACAAGGTGATGTTCAATTATATGATCAATGGAATCTACGGCTTACCATCGTTGAGAAAGTGCAATAGTTCAGCAATTGTTTCAATAGCAGCAAGTCTTACAATACTTTCTTCGTCGTTTGTTAATTCAACTAACTCAGGCATGATCCAAGATTTTGTGAAGTCCCCGCTGAAAAATATCACGCAAAATTTAATCAGTATACGCTGCTTGTAGCGAATACAACTAGGCTAAAGTCTGCAAACACAGAACTTTTACCATGACCAACTACCCTTATTGGCAGAAGTCCTTATTATTGAAGTAACCAAAGAAGATAATCTATTTCAAGCTTGTTTAATTCATACTGCAAAATTCAAGCACTTTTAGGTATATAAAAAAGGAGGGTGGGTTTTCATTTTAACAGAATTTAAAAACATCATCATATAACGAAAAACACCCTCAAAGAAAAACAACAAAAATGTCAAATTGATTGCAAGTGTGACTGTATGAAACAGGACCGTGATAGCTCCATTAAGCAGACACCCTCGGGGAACAGACTAGTGTCCACTTAATGGAGGTGTCAAATTGATAGAGGTTCCATAATAAAGAATTAGCTGTATGGGATTAAATTTGACACTTGACAAAGTCTCCGCTTTGTCGGGTCGCTTAATACGGGTTTGAATGTAATTAAATGGAATGGAACGATAACTCAGCAAATAAACGTACACTAGCGTGGCTGACTAGTTACCATGGATACTACACCTCAACGTCCCAGTCACTATACAATGAATAACATGTGTAAATATGACAAAATAACAACAAACCCTAAATCTTTTCCAATTTTTTGCAATTCGTGACTCATGCAAGCTCGAACTTCATAGTCAACATCTTGGCATAAAGAAGTAATGAGACCCATCAATTCTTTCTTAATCCTAAAACATATAAAAAATAACTGGAAAAAAATTTTATCAATTGGGTATGCAAAAAAATCAATTTCACTTTATTGAAATACATATTGTGAGGCAAAAAACCATATAATTACATACACCTCTATTGAGTATGTATTCAATTGTTAATTACATACCACAATGGGTCAAATTTTGCAACCACCACACCAAGAATTTTACAGCATGATAACCGTGATGTAACAGATTGAGATAGCTGCCCTTTTGTAAAGGCAATTGGCAAAATCTTTAAAAATACAATCATGACAATGAACATTTTCAACAAACCATATTATATTTTGATCAAAAAGAAACAAACAGAAATATTTTCCACTTCATTACTCAATAATATTTACCTCTCGTTTTATGGCATCCTTGGGAAGCTTTGTTATTGTACAGAGCAAGGCATTCAACCAACCATGAGAAATTGCTAGAAGAATATTTATTGAAATGGCTGTTAGTCATGCTACTGCATATATATTATTGTAAATTTTTTATCTTAAATGAACGACAAAAGGAAATACAGGTAGATTGAAGAATGACACAGAAAGTTAAAAGGTGAATGCAGAAATGTTATAGGTCAGTTAGGAATATGACTTGGAGCTAGTTTAGTCTCATATCTACTTAAATACACTTATATAATAGATACATAGATTCAGAGCCATTATTCTTAATGATTTGTACTCCATAAGGCAAATTTCAATTTAACAATATTTTCATCTATTTCATTGTGCTTGTGCTTGAAAAAACTAGAAACATGAAATTTTTTATGTTCTTTTTTACAGTTTCTGCTAATTGACATACTTGGATCTTTGTTCTCCATATTGTTCAATATTGTAGGTAAAAATGCTGATATAAAAGCATATATTGGCAACAATCCCCTCTCAATAATCTGGTAATAGGATTTGCTAGCAACCAGTTGGATCTCAACTGAGGCAGCATATAATAATTCCTAAAAAAAGTATCAAAATTTTTTGTCAACTCTATAATTTCCAAAAAAAACATCTTTTAGTTTAACAAACATCAAGTCAATTCTATCAAATGTTTCCCAATGGAAATCCAGTTGGTACCTGTTGACACTTAATGTTACAACTATGGTAATTTCTTAACAATTCATATTCTTTTTAGTTTATTCATACATCCACGTACCCTAACAAGTGGCATGACTTCCTTGACGGCATCATTTGCATGGTTTTCAAATAGCAAAGGCAAGTTATTGATTACACTCAGTTTTTGTGCTTCAATACCAGAACTACAAAACAGAAAACATTTGAGTACAATCAAAAAGAACCAAACAAGGCAAATAGTGCTTTGCAAATATTTTACTGTTTACTTCAAGAAAATCAAATTCCAAAGGAATCACTAATGATATAAGTTCAAATTTTATATGACAGACACCAAGTACTTGTGATAGTAACTACGAAAAGCTGGAAAGGAAGCTGCTAAAACATTTCTACCCATCTATCTGTCCTTGTAATCATCATAGTTGTACTTGATAATCCAAAAATTTTCCACAGAAATTTATTGAAGTCATGCAGATAAATCATATTAAAAAAAATAGCTACGATCCACAACTATTTAGACAAGAGCTTAAATGACACCTAAACTCATTTATTTTCACTTATTTTCATAATTGTTCGTATGCCTTTCGCGTAATGAGATTAAAATTGTTTTGAAATTAAAACAATAAATCTTTTCGATACAAAGAAAAACGTCTAACGTTTTAAATTGTGTAAATTTGCCTTAAACGGGACGTTCAGCCTCTTTATTCGCACTCTAGCTTTATTATCTTATCAATACGAATGTCATGAAGATAAATTCAACAAACACATTTAAGCACATAAGAGTCAAAAATCAACACCTAAGTAGAAAAACTGCTCGTTCAACGTCCGATAGATTTTCATCCACAGTTAAGCGTTGAATTTCTTCTTCGGACTGCAAAACGCAAAAAAATGTCATTGAAACGACAACATTACTTTGTGAAAAGAGCTTATTAAATAAAATGCAAACCTTGAGACCACTTTTTATAGTCCTTTCCGACCTCAATTCTTCAACTTCTTCTTCTTTAAGTTCTCCAAAATCGCCATACATTTCATTTTGCTCGAAGCTGGCCAAGCCACGATTCAGCCAGTCCATTCCAGGCAAAAGGAAAATTATATTAAGCAATGTCAATAACAATATGGCAGGTGTACGGTTGAAAAGCTTAACATGTTGCATTTAATCTTCATTGTTCTTAACTTTGCTGTCCCTGATTTCTAAATATATAGCATCACGACCCTGTTTATTTGGAAAAAAAATCTAAGTCTAATTTCTGTAGTACTTGGTCACTATCAATGGTTACTATGTTACCCAAGTGTCAACCATTATCATAACCAAATCGTAACTGGATTGTTATGTCGTCATTTATGTCGCACACAAATTACCGGATAAAAATGTCGACAAAGTTTCGATAATCGATCACTATTCAATATATCATTAATACCACTGTTACTACGATCATTATGTTAGCGAGAAGACTTAAAGGCTCATTAATTTATAGCTATTCAAATTCACTACAAACTTTCCAGGCTCGGTTATATCATGCCGTAAGTTGCTAAAATTAATCACTATTTTTCGATATGATTGTGATCTCATGAGCATCAGTCGTCATGGACTTCACGGTTGTTTCCAATTGTTTCAATTTTATTTTAATTTATGACAAGTACATAATTTATCACTGGTCGCAAAATGCGACCCATAAGCGCAAGGAGATCCATACTTTAGGGCCTATACTCATAAATGCATGTCAGAATTATTAAGTAAAAAATAATGGGATTTTAAGGGCATATTGTGTGACAAATCATGCATATCCAAGTATGAATAACAACCCTCCCTCCCCCTTCACCAATTATGGATTCTGCTACTGCCCACCAACCTAAGCCATTAAAAACTTCATTTTTAGTACTGATGGTATGATAACATATGGAACTGCATTTCCATTACCAAGAAAATTTGAATCATACTAATTGATATTGATCAAATCATGCGTCATGCCCTAGCTATGTTCAAAGTACGAATGTGTAATGGTAAGATAAAAGTTCCAATCTTGAAATTCCATCTTTCAGAATACAAGTTGCAATGGCTTCAAAGGGACAGTTGCTCGGTAACCAATTTTAATTGTCCAAGAGAAAGTTGTTATTTTCTAAACATCAATTTATCACAAATTTTCTTTATCCATAGGACCCCATTGATAAGACTGAACAAGTTAAGTGAAAAAACAGGCAAGTGTCATAAAGTCTTTATATGAAAAGAAATTTAATTGATAAAACCCTTTCATTTTGCATGCTAATTATGCATGTTGTTAAAAATTTAATAATATCCATTTGAATTTAACAAAGATTTATTTGGATTCTTGTTAAAGGATGCAACATCATGGTGAAAGCTGAGTTCCTTAATCCTGGGGGTTCAGTCAAAGACAGAGCAGCATTGTATCTCATTAAAGATGCAGAAGAAAGAGGTCCAGTTCTTGTCATGTTTTAGAATAAACCCTGGATTTATACTTACTGATTAAAAATGCAAGTCTTTGTTCTGTGTATCAAACTTTTTGTGTCATCATCAACACAACACCAATCATCATTGCCTACATTATTCAAACAGAGAATACAACTGTAAAATCAAAAGATTTAACAATAGCATACTATAATTGTTTCAGGACAATTGCAACCAGGTGGTACAGTTGTAGAGGGGACTGCTGGCAATACAGGTAAGGGGATGGTAAAGTTATGCAAAACCTCACCAGTCAAATGCTAGAGCACAATTCCATAATTCAATTTTTTGTTTGCACAGGGATTGGCTTGGCTCATATGACCCTGGCATCTGGTTATAAATGTGTCATATTCATGCCTGACACACAGTCACAAGTACATTCAAAAAAGAATATTTTACCTATGTAAAAAGTGCACAATGCAACACAGCTTTTACTTTACAATGGTATAAAAAATTTTTCTTTTTAGGAGAAAATTGACATGTTAAAAGTTCTAGGGGCAGATGTGAGACCAGTACCAGCCGTGCCATATGATGATCCAAATAATTATAACCATCAGGTATCTATAAAAACACTATGACTACCTACTATTATACTGTCATTATCAACCATTACCTACCATTACTATCATCACCTACCATTGCCTACCATAACCTACCATTGCTACTGTTACTATCATGACCTACCATGACTGCCATTACTATTAACTACATACTATAAAGTACCATTACAATCATTAACAACCATTATTATCATCACCTACCACTACCACCATTACTATCATTACGTACCATTACTATCATTACGTACCATTACTATCATTACGTACCATTACTATCATTACGTACCATTACTATCATTACGTACCATTACTATCATTACTATTGAACTACAATAAACTACAATTATTTGCTTCACTAAATTGAGTTTTGAAAACACAATGTGAAAACGAAAGTGTGCATCCTTACTTACTCCCAAAAATTAAGCTCTCCCTTTTTCACATCTTTAGGCAAAAAGATTTGCGGACAGTTTGGAAAACGCAATTTGGACAAACCAGGTGCAAGAGATAGTTCACATGGCGGTCGTCTATTTAAGTTTCTGAGATAAAACCGGGCATCCATTAAACTAATTACGTCTGTTTTTGATGCACTTTCTTGTACAATTTTACAGTTTGATAACACAGCCAACAGAAGGGCACACTATGAAACAACGGGACCCGAGATTTGGAAACAAACGGAAGGAACGATCGATGCTATTACATTCTCAACTGGAACGGGTGGAACAATTGCTGGTACGCGCCGTTACTACTTCTAAAAAAATAATGAAGATGGTTGTAGAATTTTCTCTCATAATTAAATATAAAACAAGAATCAACTTCAATGTAGTTGTCATTTACATTTCAAATCTAGGTTCAGGAATGTATTTAAAACAAAAGAAACCTGGTGTAAAAGTTGTTATAGCTGATCCCCCGGTACACGGTCAACTTTTCTTATCATTTGTTGATATTTTAATGTGATACCCTGGTTTCAAAATGAATGCTTTGAACCCGGGAGTATCGTTACATGTTTCTACATGTAGATCGTCCAAGTTAGTGCATTCTTGAGGAAGACTTTTGGTGTGGTGACTGACGATTCGACAAACTTAGCGGTATTAACCATTAGTGTCAAGTGAGGAGTAAACGTCAGATTCGTATTGTGGTTGTCTGGTTTTGACGTTGTGTATGTGTGATATTGTATGTAGAGGAAATGTTTGAATGTATGGGTATCCATTACGTATTGGGAATGTCAGTCAACACAACCGCAAACAGTTCTTCTAAAGAATGCACTGAACTGGATGATCCACATCTATAAAAATACACCGTGGTTTTGTCTTGTACATTTAAATCTGCGAATAGCTTTCAGCTTTATCATATCCATTTTCTTTGCATCATGACGATGAAATGTTTTTGCGCGTAGGGAAGTGTTTTATACCAATATTTTAAAAGTGGTAAATTGGAAAGAACTGGCAATGATTCCATTACTGAAGGTAATATTTTCAACCAAAGGATTTTTACTCGCACCAAAAGTGTTGAGTGAAAATATGTGTTGTGATAATAGGAATTGGCCAAGGTAGAGTCACAAATAATATGAAAGGAGCGTTTGATGATGGAGTGTTTGATGATGCAATTCACGTTCCTGATGAAGACTCCGTCGAAATGGTCAGAACTGCTTTCATACCCTAGTGTAACTTTTGTAAAGAAACAGTTTAGTCATAATATACACATTTTAATTCTAAATAAACTTCATATACAGGTATTTTATTTACTTCATGAAGAAGGTTTTTTTGTCGGTGCCTCATCAGGCTTGAATGTTGCTGCTGCTGTAAAGGTTGGTTCTCAGCTCGTATACATGTATGTCTATATAATACAGTAGACTATCATCTGTTGATAGTCTACTGTCCATCATCTATGAGACACTAGACTATTATCTGTTAGACAAACATTTTGCAATTCAACAGTTGTTACGTCGAGCTCGTAACACGGTAACCTTTCAGTTGCACATACAGTTCAGACGCTACAACTGAAATATATCATTGTCGTACTTAACATTTTTACGTTTTTACGTGCTTTCTTGCAGATTGCCAAAAAGCTCGGCCCAGGCCACACAATTGCAACGTGTTTATGTGATACTGGTCAGGTATGCCGAAATCTTATGTAAAACCTTTATACTGAAAGTAAATGAGTGATTTATACTATAATTGCCACTAAACTTTTGTCCCATAGATTTAATAGTTCTTTATAAATTTTATTTGTTCAGCGCTATTATGCAAGACTGTTCAATAAACAATGGCTTCATCAAAAAGGTAACGCCCAGAAAAACTACCTAATTTAATGTCCTATTTTTTCAGCGAAAGTTGTAACTTTCTATAAATCTGCTATCGTTTTAGGTCTCCTGGAAATAATTCCCGAAAAATATCGACATGCCTTACATTGAATGAGAAATTAGAGAATTATACTCATAGCTGAAATACCCGAGATGATCGGCAAAATAAACTTGGCGTGAAATGCGTATTAATAATGTAATTTTTATCATCAGGTAGTCTGAATTTTCGTATTAAATTGGTCGCATTAAACAACAGTGGTTTTCTCCTCATTAAAAATAGCGGATATTATAATTGAACATATATAACGAAAATTCCTTTACGGATATTGGAAAGGAATTTTGACGGGAAGTTCAGAAGATTTGAACAACGCGTTGCTGTCATTGCTTTGCAGTTTGTATACAACGTGCAGACTGCCGAACATATTTGGCCAATTTGCGCGATGAGAATGGGTCAAATGGCGACACTGTCCATCCCATTTCTAATGTTCTATGTTTCAATTACGTTTGGGAAATCCGTAGAGCCAACACAACCTTATGAAGAGGCATTTCTAGCACGAGAGGAATACAGTTTGCCCAAGCTGCCGTACAATGAGAGTGATCTAGAACCTTATATCGATGAAGAAACAGTGAAATTGCAATATTCCGTGCACCATTATGGTTATACGCAAAAGCTGAATCATGTTTTGAAAGTGTGGAGAAATTCTAGCGTGAGTAAAGCTCGAAATACTTTTGAAGCGTTGAGCAGATAAGTTTGAACAATGCATTATTGTCTTGGACGACCGATTCCACATCCTACAATATTTATATTTTTCGTCCCAAAACACTAGAATTCTTACTTCTTGCAATGGTAGCAATGATGTGATTCCTGCAGTTTATATTCACAGCGCGTGCGTATATTTTGAACTATAAATCTAATTTGCATAAAATGCGCGGAAAAGTAATCATAAAATTACAGTAACACTGCACTAGGAATGCCGACAAACATTCAAAATATCCATAAAGAAAAGGCAGATGTCTTCCTGTACCTGTTTGTCTGTTTCCAGTTCCTTTTATCCGTTAAATATATCCCTTTTATTCATCTGTTTCCAACATAGGAAGAAGTGCAGGAGCTTGCATCAAAATCAGTAGTTGATATATTAACGAATATCAACGATGTACCTGAAAGATATAGATATCATGTAAAGAATGTTGCTGGAGGGTTAGTATGGTCACAGGCAAAATAACTACAGAAACAAGTACTTATGAAGTAAAAATCTAGATATAGAATCTATATCTATAATTCCCCTGCATGCATGACACTGGGCTAGTTTCCATGTCTTCACTTTGGATTTACTAGTTGCTTCAGTTTTCTCTCTGTTTAGATACTTTAGTCATTCCTTATATTGGTCAACAATGACTCCAAATCCAACTGGTGAAATACGCGTGCCGGGTCAACTAACTCAACATCTTATCTCTCAAACTTTCGCCAACCCAGATGGCCTACGGAAATGGATCTTCCACGAAGCCTTGGATTTATTTGGATCTGGTAACGTGTGGGTTTGCGTAGATCCCAAGCAACCCCAACATATAACCATTTATACGTTAATAAACGAAGATACCCCGTTTAGCCATGGTTTGTACCCCATACTGGTTGTGGACCTTTGGGAGCGTGCGTACTATCTTAAGCACCGAAACAATAGAAAGGACTACCTGGAAGCATGGTGGAAATTAATTAACTGGAAGACGGTGGAAAATTTAATCAAGCGCTACGGCGTCAATCAATTTCACGATGAACTATGACAACGACACATTTTATGCAAGAAAATATGCATTGATTGGAAATATACAAGATTAAATTACAATCGAACGCAAATGACGTTGAAAGTTTTTGATAATCTGTTAAATAAATAAATGTGTATTTAAAAAACATGAATTTTGATGAAGCCCATGAAAAAGATCCTAGGATAGTACCTTCGGGAATATATCCCGGGGAAAAGACACCCGCTAAAGACCCTAGGGAAAAAACAGCAAAATAATTGCGATAAAATGCGTCTTGAAATGCAACAACTTTATTCTAAAATTACAAATCATATTTTGCTGACTATTAACAACAAAAACTCCTCCGAGATTTTTGTCAGTCGAACAAAATCATGTCCTGAGGATATAGCAAATAGAAAACTGCCATAGTGCAATGATATATAAAGTTGCTTCAAATACCTTTGATGCTAATGGTTAAGTGTTAGCCACAGTACAAAACATCATCTGGCATTAAATTTCATCTTTTGCAAAGCCTAAGTAAGAAATAATATTGAAGGGCTTATGGTAAAGACTGCAGACTCCAAAGAAAAGACCATATAATTATTTGATATAAAATGCATCCTCAAATATAGCTTTATACAACTACTTTATCCAAAGTAACTGATCATAGAGCCTGATTAACTGGGAAGAGGATTATCGTGTTAGTGAACAAATGATGGACTGGGACTGAGGTCATATAAAAACGACGACCACACACCATTTGCTTTGCAGTTATTTGACGCTTTTAATAAACACCTGCTGTGAGCTGTAACAATTTGCCCTTGAATCATAAGTTTAAAATAGCGAAAATGTTGACCTTCAAAAATACCATGGTTATGTTTGTGAGCAATTTTTTCATTGTTTGGTGCGCAACAGATAGTGGAACGAGAAACTATTGTCCGTATTTCAAGAACCGTGCGCCATCACAGCAAACAAATTTGGAAAACTGTACATGGTTTCGGGATAATTCATGCTGTCTTAATGAGGAGTTGAACGAGATTCTCGCATCCACCACAATATATTTACAAGACAGTAGCAGTGAATGCTCAAAACACACAATATACTTGATGTGTTATGTCTGCGCGCCCAATCAGAATACTTTTTATCGGGACGAAACGCTAACGGTTTGTGCGGAGTTTTGCGAACGATGGTTCACCGCTTGTATTAACGCAAAATGGAAAGGATTCACGATTAGATCTTTATACAGTTCCGGTCGAGAGTTTTGCGAAGCTAGGAAGTTTTTAATCGCCTCAAAGAATGACAAACGACCTGAAAGTTGTTATACATTTGGTAAAACCGTTGAAAATAACGCATACTTGACCCTGCCGAATGCACAGTCATTGTTACCAGTAATTGCTTACGTTTTCGTAACATTGGTTGTCCACAGTTGAGATTAAAACCAAACTACAATGTTTGGAATGCAATTCAACACTGATCTTGGTTACTTCTTGGCTTATATCTTATATATCTTGCTTATTTTCTTGAGGAAAATATGATGCAATTTCTTTCCCTATGGTAAAAAAATGGTCTAATCCAATACATAATCAAATGTATCTCTGACCCAGGACCCTTGGTGCCAGAACTGCATCTCGAGTTTCCCGTTTGGGCTTGAGGAACCCCACTGAACAGCATTTTCTATTGAACTCGTGACATTCACCTGAAATTGCCCAATTATTTGAAGCAGATTGTTTACAAGTGCAAGATTGTTATCTTTAAAAAGCAATAAGTCGTTACTTCAAAAGGCATCCGACATCAAACATTCGAGATTCACTAGATTTATTTATTTAAAAATATTTACACACGATAGCCTATTCAATGTGGATATTATTGTTTAAAAGGCCCAGATGCTTGTCTCGGTAACGGCAGGTAAATGTGCGCAAATTATGCAAATTACTTTTGTGTGGAATTTCACGTGACAAAAGCAGTCAAATTTCATTGATCGCACCGTAGGGTTCCTCACGATTTCAATGGCTTAGAAAATAAACATATATAAACCATTTAAAAGATATTATTGTTTCCTACAAGAAAAGTATAAAACTACAATTCAACCTAAATATTTTATTCTCATCCAAGGCAGATATTTAACAAGATTATATAAGCAGTTGCTTCTTAGTAATCAATAGTATTACTACACTCTCATAATATTTATCCTCAACTATAATATTTTATCTTCAAATGTGTTCAAAATATATACACCAATTGACAAGAATGAGATTCCGCTCAAGTCGCCATACTCAAGTGAGCTTACGTCATTATCATGTTGTATACAATATACAATCCGCTACATAATAACACAGTAGAGATATCAAAATGTAAGGCAACATTCGTAGAGAGTAATTCGGTGAAGTCAAAACATTGCCCGGTGGATTTCTTTGTTGAATGAAACTTGCGACTTTTGCAAAAATCGCTACCGTTTGTGTACAATTTTTGCCAACGGACGCCCTTGAGAAAAGCGTTGGCGCAGAGTTGATAAATCATGTCACACGATTCCTCGCACACAGTCAGCCGATTGTGAATGAAGAAATCGTTTTGTTTTGGCGAACACACGTAGCAATATAGATGATTCAATGCCTCAAGGCAGTGTTGATCAGCGCCAGCCATAGGCAAAAGATTGGAGAAAATAACATCGAGTTCTTCGTCAAGACAACACGCCTTTTCCTTATACCATGTGCAATTCTTCAGCGAAGGTTGAGCCATAGGTGCCCGGTTTTGGAAGTAAGGGCAATACTGAGGCTGTGGCATTGCATTCTCATCAGCTTGACAGTCATGCGCAGCACACGAAAGAAACCAGATTAGCAGAACAAACACAGACTTCGTCTTTATCTTGCTGTTCGGATTGTGAAGTATTCCACTCCAGACACTGTTGCATTTCATATTTCTTACATGTCCTCTCACAAATGACATTCACAAACTGACTGAACACTCGCCATCGAGAGGCCTAGCATTTAGCAGGTCTAATGCGTCATCAGTATTCAATAAAATCAGGCAAATAACCTACTGCGGACCACAAATTGTTTGACGAAATAAAGTCAAAGGCGAAAACATTTTTTGTACCCCCTGCTATACAAATGACTTCCTCATATATTTTTCACGCAAATAAGTTGTAAGAAAATTAATTATACGTACTTTTCTCATTGGTCGATTACATGTGATAGCGCAATATTGATGCAGACGCCGATTTCCAAGGATAATTCAAAAAAGATTGCATCAGTTCTATAGATGCAACAAAATAGAAGATTGATAATAGAAAAAAACGACGTCTAATCTCAACTTTTAATTTTGCCATCATGCTGCCCAGACACATAATTAAATTATTAAAAATAGGGTGCCTTCCTTGTCTAGTTTTAATAATAGAGGATTATATGCCGTTTATGAGAAACTAAGATTTTACATCAATTAAGAATCTAGTAAATCTTCTACGGAGGTAGAATACCAGATTATTTTATGTAAAAAAGATCAACTTGTTATGTAAACGAACATTCTTGAGATAGGACCGCAGTAGATTATGAGGTCAAAAATGACAGAGAGGTCAGTGAACAAATCGAGAAATGGGAGAATGCTTTGCATTTTTTTGTATAAATACAGTACGGGTTTGAGAAATTTAATTTTCGTTTTTACATTCTATAATCACTGCAAGTCTGCAACAGATGTTAAATTCATAGACTGGAGACTAACAATAAAAAGAACACAATTAATTTATAAGAAAGAACTATACAAGAATATATATTTAAATGCAATGAAAGAAAATTTTGTTTTAAGCTTTATCACGTGATCAAAAGCACTCGCAGTTTTTACATTTATTTAACATAGACTTACACACCACAGCCTATGAAGAATTTACACACAACGTTATGTATACTATTCACATGTTTACAAAGTTTTTACATTTATTTAACATAGACTTACACATCACAGCCTATGAAGAATTTACACACAACGTTATGTATACTATTCACATGTTTACAAAAACTCAATTGTTTGTTTATAAGATCTTCCTCTATACCTTGAGTGTTTTGTTTTGTCTATGATGTAATAAAATATCGTTCCAGCAAATTTGTCAAATAATTTAATATTTATCAACCTCAGTAAGTATTCTCCTCTGTCGACCTTAAACATAATAAGCAAGTACCCATATTATCAGAAAACTAAACTTCATGTTAATGGCTCCCTGACAGAGCAATTTACCATCGTTTACTAAGCATCACACTCCCAATTTAATCATCATCATAATTTTTTTTATGAAACACATTACACATAATTTGTTATCATGCTCAACATACGCTGGTTTTTACGATGAACGTGTAAGAAGTTACATGTATAAATAAATATACACAATTTACAAAAGAAAAAATGAACGATCTTTTTAACTACATTGACTACAAGAATATAATTATAAATTATATATCATAGCCCCCTAAATATTCGATACCATTGAACACATTTCACAGGCTTCTAGTACTCAGGAATATTTAGCGTGATATAATCGCGCGAAATCAACATTTCTAATATTTTTTCTGACAGTTCGCTGTTGTTCGTAATAAAATAACGAATCTGTTGACGCCGCCATAGAAATTTACTATCGCATTTAAAATTCTCTTTTAGGAGAATCCAGTTTTTTCCGTTTGAAAAGGAGAGTTTGTTTCTTTCGGATTCGACGATTGGCTGGAAGTCGAGCTCTCTCCTCCGCGTCTCTTTTTCTCTTTTTTATCGTGCAATCATGTTCTTTTTTAGGCAGTACAACATCATTTTTCTCAACATCATATTTGCCTTTCAATCTCAAGACATTTTCGTCATCTTTCTTCTTACCTTTACTCTTGTCTATAGTGAATACACTTCCTTCTTTCTCAGATGATGATATATTTTCAGCGCTTCGTAATTCATTTCGTACTTTCATCAAGAGTTTACCCATTTTATTTTCTCCAACGAGTTTACCGCTACCTTTCTCAATTTTCCCCGTCCAAAAATCCATATTTCCTCGCAAGGGAATGTGAACCAGTTTGCGCGTTCCTGTTTTTAACAATAAACTTCGAAAGGGGTCCATCTCGAATTTCTTTCGCAGACCTTGAAAGCAACACAAAATAAGAGTTAGAAAAGTTTAGTTGCTTACGATATTTTCAACTGACGAGTTTTGTTTAGCTAAACAAGTTAAACCGTTTAAACCTTGGGTCATTTTTTCGATATTTCGACGTCGTTCTAATCCATCTTTTCTCAACTGTAATTTATATTTCTTTGTGCCTGATTTTCCACCTGCCGTTTTTATAAAGCGAGCCTTAGACATCGTTTCCTTCCATTTTCCCTTAGTATACCTCTGTCTTCCCAAATCACCTTCAACTTCAAACCTTTTATGATCTTTGTCGACGAATTTCATTGCTTGAAAATAATGTTCCACAGAGGCAAATATACCTTCAGACATTCGAATTTCAGCTTCATAAAAATTTGAGAATTGGGAGTATGGCAACTTTGAACGAGAATTAAAAGTAATAGGGTCTCCTGTTTCGTTTGTCATGTTTGATCCTAACCTAGCGGTGTAAATTTCTTTCGCTCTGTTCTTCTTTTCTCTAAAACTAGTACTTCCAAACACGTCTCGAATACTAAATGTGGATATTCGATGTATAAATTCACGCCTGCACAATAACTTTAAATGGTAATTTGAGACCATACGTAAGTTGCCTATATAAAAGAAAGTTAACTTAAAAGCGCAGCAATATTTGAATAGCAAGATAGAACATACCTTTTGCAAACATACCTTTTATGATCAAAATTGATTAATATTACGTAACAGATGTTTCGACCGAGACATTAAATTGCTTAAGTGGGTATTACTGGTACGGGTAATAAGTGTAAAGCAAAACCAGGCAGTGCCGACTGGAAGCGTTCTGTTGAGCAACATGTAGCCAGTGGAAGAAGAGAGGCGTCAAGGTTTATTTCAGCCACTGCCTCAATTGAAAAAGCCTTGATTTGTGCCTTTTACGAAAAGGAAGACAAAAAAAGCCAGAAAGATACCAGAAAGGCAAAAGCCATTACCTATCATAAAAATCTCCAATTCAAAAGTGAAAAATCCAGAAAAAATTATAAACCTAACCTACGACGAAGTCCACAATTATTGGATGAAAGGAGATACACATAGAAATTGGGCTAAATCTTCAAGCAAAGTTCTCTTCAAAGATGAGATACCAAAGGAAGCGCTTGAAGTGTGGAAAAATCCACCAAAAACATCTCAGCCAAAAAAAATAAAGCACAAGCTTTAACAGGATAAAATTTTTTTAGCATTACAAATATTTCTTTTCAACTTGTAAGAATGAGTACTGTATTAATAAAGTATGAAAAATTAATCCCTTCATGTCTTCAAACATGGTGTGCTGAAATATTTTAGCAAACAAGTGAACTTGACAATTTAAACTAATGTATTTCTAATTTGCAAACATTTATCTAATATATGTGTAGCTTATACCTTAAGGTCAAGCTACCCTTTCTATTAGAGTGTAAATATATGTATGATTAGTAAAAACATACATTAATCATTCATACAATAAATGAAATTTAGGCATCATGATAATAGAAGCATCAAAAAAACAAATTCATCAAGAACCATTCTTAAACAGTGATGTCAAATGGAACGATCATGTTCACTTATTTTTACTTAGCAACAAAACAATCTTGTTTATTGACTGTCAAAGGGAGCAGTTGAATAGTGGTTATGAAGGGTTATTTTAAAGGATTTGTCTATTTTACAATTTATTCATCTGCCTGTACTGTATGAACATGCGTATTTTGTGATTGGAAGAATTAACAAAAATAGTACTTGCCCCATTCTATCAACTGAAAGTCATATAATAACTATGTTACTTTGAAGTCTTAGAGATTGTTGGCACCAATCTTCTTAGAGTTTTTATCATTTGTATGAATATGCTATTACGAAATTCGATCAAATATCAGATTTTCTTCGTCAAATTCTTAAGCCATCAAACGCAATTTATTTTTCTCTTAAAAAAACAGCGTTGTGAAAGTGAAAGCTAATAGGAACAACACTTGACTTGAACTCTATGTGTTTGAGTTACTTCATAATTTTTTCCTACAAGGCAAATTTCACGGATGCGCAACGAAACAACAAATTTTCAAAATTTACACATCAGAACTTTTGGTGGTTTTTCTGGAGGTATTCTACAAGGTGTTCTACATTTGCTTTATATTAAAACTCACTCGTTCAGTATGTGTACAAAGTACAATAAAAATCAGAAAATATGTAAACAAATCAAGAAGACGCTCAGATTATAGATATAAAAGATTATATGCGAGGATTATAATACCTGATAAAACATCCTTCGCGTGTATCTTTCTCCAAATCGATTGAAAAAAGGGAAATTTTATCCCTTAAACTATGATGTACAGTAAAAAAGTTGGAAATGCAATTTATTGACAGTATTGAATGTAAAGAAGCCGATGATCTTAATATTAAGCCGATGATCTTAATATGTAAGCTCACCAGTAATGCGATTATGTGACGTCTTATGCCCATTTCGTGAATTTGTGGAGAAGAGTTTTAGTTTTTCACAGAATGTTTAGAGAAAGTAACTTGTCCCTTTTGTGCAAGTGTGTGCTGATTTTATGAATGAAAATTCGCCCCATTTTCCGAAAAAAATATTTGGCAGCTAAAAATCTTTTTAGATAGGAAATTTAAAGAAAATTGACAGAACATAATTCATAATTATTGAACTCGGTTGTCTTGTGATAGAATTTCTTATTCATATACATAATATAGTACATATAAGGAATGAAATAAACAAGATCATTTCAAGAAGTCATATTACCTCTGAAAGTCAATGAGTAAACGCTGCCAGCTTCATCTGACACATTTTCCTAAGTATACAAAAATAAAGTGCTTAAAACACTATCACTAATGGTTAAAAAGCTTTAGCATTTTATCAACACTAGAAATAGCAAATTGACAGACAAAGCAAAATGTTTCAAATTTCATTAATCAAAACTATGTCCTTCGCTTTCATTGTGAACAGTTTTTGCGGTTCTATGAAAGTACTCTATGTTTTGTGTTTTTTAACGTTGTCGTTTTGACGTTGGAAATTTTCAAACTCCATGTCGTCAGTTGAACTAACTATACAAGCAAACTAACCTTCCAAGCAAGTCCATTAGCCAGTGAGTAATTCAACTCTCTCTTTGATTGACCAACGCCCGGATGAACACTCCGTAGACTAACAGGACGTTTCCTTAAAGGAAATTTCATAAACGCCGAGAAACGTTTTTTATTGATCACCTGACGACGGGAAGCTGTAAAGATGCATTTTTAAAAACCTTAGTTGCAATATTCCTGATGCTCTTTTGATTATTTCGAAGACAACACAGCAACTATTGAAAAAATCACTTTGACTTGTTTAAATTTACGGCAAACCAATGGTGTGCTTTCCAAAAATTACCAAACCACCAGCAATATAACAAAAGTTCATGCACTTACGAGGCAATTGATCACCGTGTTTTTCCGTGAAATGAACGTCATCTTGTCGTGTGAAACCAGCCCAAAACGGAAGTAGCTCCTTTAGCACAGCATTTTGGGCTTCGTCAAATATCAAGCTATCCCGCTGATCACGTGATAACTTGCTTCTTCCGTGCAGAGATTGTACCTTTTGTACAGTACGGCCTGCCAGATCAGTGCTGATATCAATCTGAATATAGCAGTATATTTTTTTATTTCTGATTCATAAACAGAAGCTGGGCAGTGAAAAGATGCACAACACCACAAACTGACATATATATACTGACTAAAAAGAGCTTTCCTGAATACAAATTAAGACAATTTACCTGAACAGAGGGTGGAGTGGCAGAATCTAGAAAACAATCCACGATGGCATCGACTTTTTTCAACAAAGTTGTCTATAATATAAGAGGTTGATCTGCGCTTGTTCCTCACATCAGAGATTATTAAATTAAGATGAGAATATAAACAAAAATTAAAGAAATAACGTTCGATTTGACCACAGGAACCGTACACAAAGACAGAGGATATATGATGTATGGCAACTAACTCGATATATGATGTATGGCAACTAACTCGATGTATGATGTATGGCAACTAACTCGATATATGATGTATGGCAACTAACTCGATGTATGATGTATGGCAACTAACTCGATATATGATGTATGGCAACTAACTCGATATATAATGTATGGCAACTAACTCGATATATGATGTATGGCAACTAACTCGATATATGATGTATGGCAACTAACTCGATATATGATGTATGGCAACTAACTCGATATATGATGTATGGCAACTAACTCGATATATGATGTATGACAACTAACTCGATATATGATGTATGGCAACTAACTCGATATATGATGTATGGCAACTAACTCGATATATAATGTATGGCAACTAACTCGATATATGATGTATGGCAACTAACTCGATATATGATGTATGACAACTAACTCGATATATGATGTATGGCAACTAACTCGATATATGATGTATGGCAACTAACTCGATATATGATGTATGGCAACTGACTCGATATATGATGTATGGCAACTGATTCGGTCGAGAGATTAAGTTAATATTTCAATGTATAATATGGGTTGAAGTACTCACATCATCCATGTAAAGAAATAGATCCTATAAGGAGGAAAATATCTGAGTAAGAAATGAGATGAGTGAGGTGCAGTACCGCTTGGAGAAACACGTCAATTTATCATTGATAAGTTGAGTTTGTGTTAATAAGGCAGTGTAAGGTAGTTTTGAGTACATTACATTAGCCTCAGGCCCTCAACTTTGATCGCAAACACTCACTGTAAAAATTACCATTACAATGAAAACTAGTAGCGTACTTTGAACTTCTGAACTTCTAAATAAAAGAACAATCCGTTCTCCAGCTTTGATACATGTTCTCCCTTTACATCGTCATTGCCGTCCAGATATCGTCTGAACAGCTCAAGTCTAGATGATAAAACTCCAAACGTTTCACGAAGCTCATTCACAAAGTTCTCTTTGTCATCTTTCGTCGGTTGCAAACGACCCTGGGATGAAACAAATACTACGTAGTTCCAGACTTCAGGAACGAAAAAAAAAACACAACAGCTCATAAATATACAATGTTTTTAACTCTCACTTTGAACTTATTTCGGCGACGTTTGTAGTAAAGAGCAAAGCTGTTAGCTTCAACTTTTGCTGTTGTTCCATTCCCATCATGATGAGATGAAGATTTAAAAAGTTTGCTGGACTGCAAAAATACAGCATGATCAGTTGATCTGATGTTTTCAGGTCACTGACGCTGAAACATTGCTTAAAAACCTCACACTGGTTTTCACATTGCTTTAAAAGATTATAATTGAAAAGATTACTTTAAACGCTTACACTGACGCTGATTCGCTGAAACATATACAATAATAACCTTGCAAAACTCCTGGAAACTTGCATCAATATCAAATAAGAGACAATCTTGAGCTTTCTGTAGTACAGCAGTTGAAGGACATTCATCTTTTGTCAAAAATGTATCACCGGTAGGAATATCTACCCATCTGAAATACGATGATAAAAACAAAAGTTTTAACGAAAATCATCTTCATTGGTCCATGTTCAAAATGGACACATAACTTTTCATAAAGAAATTCGTATAGTTATCATTCTGAATGATTTCATGTTATATTTTACAAGCTTATTTAATTTTTTAAAAGTCCATCTAGTCTGCTGTTTGGAGCTTCAAATTTTCATTTACTGTTAGTTCTTACAATGTCTACTGCGATATCTTCACCAAGATATCAATTGTACATTCAATTGTGAACTTAAGCACTCTCCAGTCCAGCCTCTTCATAATGCGTAATTATATAGTCAAATAATAAGTGAAAAAAGTAATAGCTTACTTCCTGGAAGACTGATCAATGTAATCCCTATTTAAGAAATAAAGATGACCATGTCATTGAACAGATACAAGTATATAAAGATTATGAGATACAAATTCTACACTTTTACCGATAGATTTGGGAAGCTCGTTCTGATCTTTGCGTTTTGTTAGTGCCAGTCAACTTGAACAACTCAATATCAAGATACATTGAAAGAGCGTTGCTAGCATGTCTGCCTTCGGTATTCTGAATGAAATGTTTGAACAATGACATCACCCTAAAACAAGGGTGAAACAAATTGAATAAGGAAAGTCATGTTGATTTAAAAATTGTTGAAGATATCTTCTTTCTCTTCCAACAAATTGGCATAGTTTCTGAAATCATGCTCCATTCATTGGTTTTACAGGAGAGAATGTTTACCCGATGATATCCAATATATCCCTAATATATCCTATATGTATCTTCTATACATCTTGTTACTTCACAGATTTGTATTTGTCAGAGTCTCAAATCACGCAAGATCCCTAAGCATACATAGTTATTAAACATTGCTATATGCATCAACCACACACCCCCGGATATCTTTTCAAGATCATTTGGCAACATGAAATCCCTTACTTTGTGTTATTGACAAAATTTCGAAACTCTAGCGATGGTTTTTCCTCTGGTTTTATTTGAGCTTCTTCAACTTTAGTACCGTCATTGTATTGCTGCTTCAGTGGACGTATTGGCTGTTTTTCTTTCTTAAGTTTCGATTTTACGTCTGTTTCTTGACTTCCGGGAGGCTCTGTCGTCATCGAAGTCACACGACTTTCCTTCTTTTCCCGTTTTGAAGGTGTTTTCTGCGGGGAAGATAAGCTCATGCGGGTTGTCTCGATGTTTTCCGCTATTGTCATAGCCGTGTGAAGACGACGCTGTCTTTCAGAAGGCGAGGATTCAGGATACCTGTTATTTAAAACTTTTGAATTAAGAATATAATATTTTCAGGATGTCAAAACAGTTACTTTTACCTAGGATACCATTTTCCAGGGAAAAACAAATTTTGATTGATAGATTCATGTTTGCTGTTGCTCTTTGAATGCGTCGGTCTCCCTCCAATAGACACCTTCACGAACCTAATAAAGTATTATGTCTTTGCATGCTAGTGAAATATTATACACACACGACCCTTTATACTTCTTAGGTTGAAACACTCACTTCTTCAACGCTATTATCTCATCTTGTAAATATTCCTTCCATGGTTTTTGTAATGATTCAAGAGCACAGGTCTACGAGAGGAACATTTTCGAAAGATGAATGATAAACGCCCATATGACAAAAAATCTCGCTCACGCTCAATGTGCGGGGCTTCTAAATCACCTCACAGCTATTCAAAGATGGTAATTTTCACTTCAAAGATTGCTTGCTTTGAAATGTTCAACCAAAGTCTTGCCATTGATGGAGAAATGAGTTTTCCATTGATGAGTGGGAGGACGATTTCTGAGACGCACTCATAGAGTATGAGTGAGCACTGAGGCGTAACTATAGAACATTAATTGGGGGGGGGGTGTATATTCATATATTCAGTTGTGCCCTACTGATTTCTTTGAAAATTCAAATCACTTTCAAAAGAAATCAATAGGGCAAAACGGAATATGATTGAATATGCACCCTCCTCCCCAATTAACGTTCTATAGTTACGCCTCAGAGTGAGCTTTTATAATACGGGCGATGGATATAAAAATCAATGTAAACGAGATGATTCCTTTTTATAGACTTCATTAAGATATATATAAGATTGCCAATTAACAGAATCATGTAACGTGTAATCACAAATTTCAAATACATTTCATTCTTTTTACATCAGTTCTGGTTGGGTGAAAAAATCCACACGTGTGCATAGGTATACAAGGTAAAAAATACCTGAGAAAATTTAAAAATATCCGATGAAGCTTCAAAGGTTTGTCGTAGCCTCTCGATGATTTTACGTCTTTCAAACTCATTCAAATTTAAAGAGGACTCGTTTCCTTCAAAAAAGACAATGAAAATCTATGAAGATTATAAGGGGATTTCAACGCCTAGTTCGTTAAAAACATGCAAAAATTACGTTCAATAATAACCATGGTCAGAAATATAGCTCTCGCTTACCCTTGGAAAGAAATCTTTGCACAATATTCCAAGCATTACAAAGATGCAAATGACGATCACAGCCACGACGCTCTTCATTTCTCAAATCTTCAACTGATTGCCAAAACATTAGGTTCACTAAATCTTCTTTTTTGTTCATTCTAAAGACAGTCAATCGTGCTTGATTGTGTGAAAGACATACAGGAATCTCAAAATACAGGAAAACACTTTCCCTGAATATATATAGAAGTCGTTTTAGCTACGTACCTTTTCAAAAATGCATGGAAGGGCCAGCCAGCACTTTTTTCATACGACAATCCTTTTTGCAAAATGCAAAAACTTTCACTAAAATAATATGTTAAATATTTTACTGAAGTCTAACTTCTCTACGCATTACATCTATCCTAAACTAGGATAAAGGATAAATCACTTGAGTTGACGATTATTTTACATGCACAAGATCCACAGGTATTTCACAATATCAAGTGTTATCTTCAGCAATATTGCTTTTGTTAAGCAGTGTAAATTTTACATTAATTGTATATCACAAGAATCAGATAAATAAGATTGTCTTCATACCTTTTAAGGTCCGTTTTTAAATTTGCTTTGACATTAGATAAAGTTAAATTTTTCGACCAATCACAACTGCGTCTGGCCAACTTTTCGCACCACTCAGCACGTGGTGGTAAGGAACGAGCAAATGAGATTTTGGGAAGAAAATTAAGCGCTGATGTACCTCCATTCGATTGTCTCGATTGTAGTCTACTTTCACGACATCTTAAAATTTATGATGTCCAAACAAAATTTAATTTTTTTGGTTCTAAGATCTTGACTATGTTAAAATGTATCAAATAAATATACTTAATCATTAAAATGTAGAAGATGAACAAACAAATAAAACCTATCATGAATACCCATTCATGTATAACTTTTCTCGATGAACCAAATAACGCGGGATCCAGTACGAACGAAGTCTACGTAACGTGTCATACTGGATTCTATTAAACATATTCCCGCTCGGACCATCGTTTTTAATGGCTTCTCGAATCTTTTTCTGTAAAGACGTCATCAAATATTTCAGGATATAGACGACAACGCCAAAAAGATTTGGGCAATGTCATGAAAACTAAAAAACTTTGCAATACGAGAAAGCTCGATTTAAAGTTACCTTAGCATCCCCTGATAAACAATTCTTATATTTATCATTGATTTCTCTAAAAAAATAAAGAATTTCTATGGTTGTAATTAGTTGAACTACAATCATGTCACATGACATAAATTTAAGGAAACATTGATTTCGCTATTTTCATGAAATTTCGCGTCAACAGCAACCTCTCACAAACATGGTACGCAAGCTATCGTCGTCCAAAGTTATTTTACCTGAACATTTTCATCCGAAGCATATGTGAAGTATTTCCATCTTCTAAAGTCAACTCTTCAATGTGTTTATACTTCTCCATATCAAGCCAAAAATCAATCAAGTGAAAGCCACATGTTCCGGTAAGAAATTCTCTGAACTCACTCATTCCACGAGGCTAAAATATCAATAAGTTTTCACGTTTTACACCAGTTGCTGCAGTACTTACCGACAATAGACTACTGATTAGCTAATGGAGAAGCTCAGATAACGTTGGGTCAGTTGGTTTTGATTGCATGTAGCCCAAAAAACGTTCGTCAAGCTGAATAAACAAGTGATTGTGTTTTGTTCACAAAAACTAAAAGATGAGACATTGTTATCGTTGAAGAAAACATTTCTTTCAAGTGATTTTCCCATTTGAATTGTACATATCTTGAAAGGAATTTTCAAACAATCAAAAAATGATAACCTAGTTATTAACAAACGCTATCGAGATTTTGTACAACTGACTCCTGTGCAATAACTAACAAGCTTGTGAGATAAGAAAACTCTATAAAAGCTCATTTCTTTCATGGGTTTAAAAAAATACATACAGAATTCAAGGCATCTTCTTTCATTTCTTGAAGGTTTTGTTTAGTTTCGTCGATGATACTTTGTAATTCAGCTTCAGTTTTTTCCAATTCCTCAGAATCGTTGCCAAAACATAGAGTGCTGTCATCGTTGTCAATCTCGTCATGACTTTTGAAAAACACATCATTTTCATCGAGATCAATCTCTTTGAACCTGATACTTATTCCTTTGAAAAATAATGACGACGCTTTTCTATCTGACGATGTGTTGATAATTATTAATGACGAGTAAATTTAGTAGAGAAAATTAAATCTAAAATTTACCGTCCACGGGGGCACTTTTTGTTCGCCTATGATGCACTTGTTTCTTTTTGTTTTCACCCATTTCCTCGGGAGTAAAAGGTCCTTCACTTCTTATATCAGCTAATCGTTCGTGCATTTCGTCCTTCTTTTCTCCCTCTAATAAAACAATCGACATCATACATACACAAAAATGAGTTTTTTCGTCTTAATTTGTTGACTTTTGGCACAATTAGTCGATTTTAATCGCTATCTTTCTACAAAGCGCAAAGAAGTCGTTACAAAATCCCTCGTGTTAACGTTTAAGTTGTGAGGAAAATTTTAGATCGAAGATCTCTGTTTCCAAAATACTTGCTTACGTATTTACGTACGTAGCAAGACGGTAAAAAAAACACTGAAACATGAGAGGTGGTTTTACACGAGATCTAAAAATATGGGCTTGTTACAAAGCTAATGGATCAAAAACCGAACAGGGGTTAGGATTAAAAATAGTAAGAAAAATGAGAATGCAAGTGCTTAAGTCACAAAGGTAAATTATGTCAGGTTTGACCAATTCAAAAAGATATGCACAAAGTCAGAAAACCAACAACCACAATGACTATAATTACATCTAAGGCAAGACCACAACTTAGCAATAACTTACCATGTAATTTCTCATCTGCACCTTCCTGATAAATCTTAGCAAGTGTTTCCCTGCCATGACATCTTTCAAATGGTTTTGACTTTGTCTGGAGGGCAATGAATAACATTGGTGGCAAACTGGAAGCACTACCCAATGGTCTATGATGATGTTGTCCAGGTGTTCTTGTCGGCCATGACATTTCACTAGTGTAGTCAACTGGGCTATTTTCATTCCAGTCATCTGTAAAAAAGTCTGGTAGTTGTTGGGGTGTGGTCAAACGACTGTAACCTCTCAACTGTAGACAACTGGGCTCTACACGACTTCTGCTACTGAGTTTACGCAGAAACAATTTGCATAATTTATACTCCAGGAATAAGTGACTTCTAAAAAAGTAACCAGTCTCCAATGTAAATAAATAGTATATATTGACCCAAATAACATATACATTTAGTATAAAATAAATTCCGGAAAAAAATTTTTCAAAATGTCTGCTGGTCATGGTTTTTAACATATACATTTGTTTTTGAAAAGTAATAGATCACATTGCTCATTATCATGTTAAAACAAGATTGCCATCAAACTACTACCTCAAAAAGAAAGGCAATCTGTAGGCTTTAACCCACAGGGTTATAGCACTTTGTTGAAAAATCTTTCCTTGTTCATTTGCTAACTCTTTAAACACCAAATCATCTGAAACACTTGGAAGTCTCTCCAAGTAGTATCCATCAAGCTTTTCATATCTTATTGAAGTTCCAAATGCCTTAAAAAGTCAAATATTGAAGGATGCAGGGAAATATGGTTAGAGTTTTAAGAAATTGATAATTGTAATTTACATAATGATTGCAACATAAATAACTAATAATAAAGATTGATTTAAGTTTGTTTAAGACAATGTAACTAATTCTAGAATCAATTACACAAACTAAAATAAAGAGAAATATTTATTTTACTACAGAGAAGTGGAAACTTATGTATTTAATTTTGATAACGTATTTAATATGTCGCATTTGTACAAAGATGAAATGAAACTTACTTTTGATTGCAGGAAAAGATTGAAATAGTTTACAAAAACATCGTCATACAACAGTCTGTCTTCTAACGTCGCTGCACTGATGAAAATAACTAGATTGTATAAAAATAAGAAACTCTCATAACACGAACACCAACAAATTTCATTACATATTTCTTCACGACAAAGCAAGTATATGCTGGCTGATAGTAATTTAATACCTTCATGATGTTCTATTTCACAATTCGTTTCGTTCATTTAAAGGATGCAAAAACTTGCAATGAAACCTGTATAAAGTTCATTAAATACGTCGCATAAAAATGCTTGCCATCGTAAACAAACAGCACGTTTACTATCTCTCAGTAAGTCAGAGACACCTCTAATTATCTTACTATATCAAGTTATTCGAGCAACATTATTCCAAGCGTTACCTTGGATACAAATACCAATAATCAGCTAATACAATAATCTTAAATACATAGATCATGGGATAGACATTTATTCCCACTAATCTGTCGTTTTTCATATTCAGTGAGAAATGGTTAGAAAAAGCTCTCAATCCTAAAGCGAGCACAATCAAATGAAACAATGTCCGAGAAAATATTCACAAGTACAACATTGAGTTTGCCTGAATATTGAGAGGAGATTTGTTACCATTTACACACATGTGCCATTACACCACTATTGAAGTTGACTAATGGGCATAGAGGCGACAGTTCACACACAACCACGTGCGTATTTTGGCGTATGCAACCAGCAAGTTTACCAAGTGCATGATGTTGGCAAGTAAAAACCATTGGGTTTGATGAGATGATGACGTGTCTCATTGTGGTAGTTGTTGAAGCAGTTAACACACACAATTATTTAAGTTGGTTGTTCGAAGTTAAATAGTTCGTGCTTCATGGGAAAAAATATTGTGGTTTTAGTTACAAGAACAAACATTCAAATGGTAAGATAAGCATTGTTAAGCAAAATACTGCTGATGTTTTCGTTGTATCGACTTCGCTTCAAACTCGATAAACTTTTAACAATTTCAAAGCGCAAATTAACCCACCAGAGAAACGTTTTAGCCAGCTCTACTGTACAGGTTCAACAAAAAAAAACACACACGTACACAATACACACACGCACACACAAAAACAAGTGAATTTAAATGACGCAACAACAAAATACTGCGTTGACAAAAATTATACTTGACTGATGACAGACTGATACAGATATGCTCATTCATCTTTTAGGCTTACCACAAATATTTGTGAAAACACGTCTAATGGAAATCAAAAATGGTGTACTCTTCACTCACCAACAGCAAGTACAAATTAAATTCAAGTGAAAACGGAAGAATCTAAAATACTCAAAGTAAAACTCGAAACTGACTTACATCCTTTTTTGGGTAAAAATGTATACTATATCTGAGTATTCAGTAAATCTAATGTCAAGGTCATCAATTAACAACTAGGTAGTACTTATGTTGAAAACATGCAATTTAAAAGTCTTCATAAAATGGTTGGTGGCGATAGAAAACGTCAGGGTTTCAGAAAGAGATAGAGAACATGTGTTTTTGCAACATAAAGGAAAATTTTAAAGTACAAAGAAAAGCGAATCATTCAAGTAAATTGATTCAACACAGGAAGGAGAGAGGGGTAGATGCAGACCTTCTAAATGTCAGATCCTTATTTGCTAAAGACAAGTCACAAGACTCACATCACAAACATAAAACTTTCTGCTAATTTGTAAAACAATAGTTTACGATTGGAAAATAAAAACATTGATTTAAATAAGGGGGATTTCAAAAGAACCAGATGTGCATTAAATTTTTCAAGTCATTAAAAAGCCTTTAACATCACACAATATTACTCAATGTTAAACATGCAAGGTCTTTCATTATTAGACGCAGCTAATGTTTGAACTTAAATCTATAAGAAAACAGCAAGAGAGCTTTGTTTTGTGATTAATCAAATATCACGCTGCTCGCTAATGCGACTATGCATTTCTATATCCTTAAAACGATAAATGTGCTGTGCTGTCCAAGAGAGCTTAGACAATAAGGGAGGAGCAAGGGGAATCACGACATATCACATAAAGAAAACATTTTAAATAGCATAATGGTATGACTAACCAAACGAAACCGACAACAGCACGCAGGCCAAACTCGACTCTTGCTGTTCTTTTGTAAACTATTGTGGCCTCCCGTGTACTTTATCTTCCTTTTAGTAAATATTGTTAATCAAAAGACGCGAGTACATCTGCAACTTAAAAAAGATGCATTTGCAGGTTAGGTAAGGTCTATACGTGGTTCTGCTTTCGGTAAAACATATCTATTTAGAATGTGACTATGAAGGAGGTACTTCTCATCAAAATACAGTAAATTTTTACACATATAATTTGATTAAATTGGCAAGTGTAATTGTTGCTTACAGCGTATGAGACTGTTTATTAACTGGCTACGATGTTGCAATAGAAAATGCCTGTTTTATAATTTGGTTACATTGGCTACATATGGCTTGCCTGAATAGTTGCCGAACTTTATACCAGTTTTGCTGTGTTGTTTTTTATACAAGTGGCTTCACTCTCTGAGTCTAGAAATCAGCACAAAATCATGTTTATAGAAAAGCACAGCATTTCCACAATTCGATACATCTCAGTCAAAGAGAACACATTGTGCATCACAGCACAAATAATGTGTTGACTGACAGTTCTCTGGTCAATCGATCAAATGTCATTGCATGGCGTTGCTATCAATTTCTTTTCATTTTTCATTGTATATAGTTTACCACGTAACAAAAACAAGCCCAAGCGCGACTGAATAGGCAACAACAATGTATTTAGATAAATATGTACAAGGAATCCTCTACGATCGTCAATATTTTACCAAATCGTCCGGCATAAATTCCATGGTAAGTTTATTCATTAATCAGTTTATATATGTCCGGAAAGTTCTACCAAAAAGATTCTTCGTACATGTTTGGCACTTTTCAAAAAGCCATATCTGGTCTTGTGACATCATTTAAATGTGTATAAGTTATTGTAAAATCATCACTCAAAGAAAATTCTTCGTGTTGCAAATTAAGGCTGCATCTTCTGCAGAGTAAAAAATCTATTTTGAACACTTCTATGAAAGTACTTTAGATACTATATAGCGTGTCAATATAGACGACTATTTAAAGCATAAATATACAAAGCAAATAAAGAGATAAGGAATGTAAAAACAAAAGCTAAACTTCATGCAGTAATTGATGTAAAAAATCGCTTCTTAAACATAAGATACTTGAAACTTCTATTTCATGCGAATATCTTGCACCCAACGTGCGCAAACTATAATACAATGGGCAATTTTAATCGAGAATTTGATTTCGTTAATTCACTCACAGTTTCAAACCGCCGAGGTCAATTCAATTCAAAGAAACATCCTGACAGCTGCAGCTTCGCCTCAGATTATATAGGAGCAAATTATTTTCAGCGAAAAATAAATCCCACGTTGTCTGAAATTTCTTAAAAACATGCATGCGACAAAATAATTAATCCGAATGATTTCCAAAGGAACTTTTTGCTATTTTAGAAATACGTATAGAGGCATTAATGACGATTTAATTAGATTAAAAATTCAAATCACGAAAATGTAGACATGCTACACGCATAATCTTTGAGAGAAACACTCACAATTCTTGATTTTCCTGTAAAATTATGCTTCTAATACGTATAGCTATATATCCTTCAAAGAATATTGACAAGCTTGCTGAAATAAGTTCTTTTCACATTTTTAAATAAGGTTGCTGTTTTTCCTATAGCTACATTTCATTATTTTTACCAAAAAAGTTTCCGAAGTAGAAACTACACAAGCAGCTTAAAGTTATAGGAAGATTTTCTCAGAAATCGTTCGTTTATTTGATTGTGTAGCTAGATATACATTTTCGTGAGTGCTCAATTTCTATGTAGCTACGTCAGGGCTAAGTGATAACTTTTGTTTCTTAGCTATATTGAAAAAAATTAAAATGGTTGTTATCATCAAACCACAGGAAAATTGAACAGCATTTATATGCAAACATGCAGACAACACACTATCAACCATTTTAATAAAACTAATTTACAAACAAAACTTTTCAATTTCAAGACTTTTCCTTATCAATAACTAATATCTGTTCAATCTTAATACTTTCGTTTCTCAAGCGACCGAGGTATTGAATGTAAATTAAATTCGGTGTAATTTAGATCATATCGAAAGTTTGTATTATCATGAGCGGTATCAAAAAAATTTAGACATTCAAGCAGACATACTAAAAAAGATATATAATAATTGAATTTTATTTCAAATATCAATTCTAATGTGCATTAATTGTTCAATCTGTGGCAATCTTCTTTTGAAGAAGGTTTGAAACAAAATTTAAATTTTTTGCTGAGCATTTTCATGAAACAATTCAATGTTGAAGAAAATCTGTTTCATAGTTAATCGAGTTAAAAATTTCCAGCTGCTGCGACATGAATGCATGCGAAAGACTTGCTATTAAAAAATATATAATGTCCTCTCAGTTACTGGGCTAGATCTATAAAGTTCTAGGTGGGAACATTGTCCAATCTTTGAGGAAGAACTTTATATATACGAAACAGCTATTCATTATACATATGCGCATGAATAGAATTATAAGTACTTATACGATTTAGCGATATCGTGCAATCTTTTAATTAATACTTCAAACAGATTAGTTAGCAAAAATTGTAGCTAACTTTGTTCGCTAGATTTTAGGAATGTGAACACTTGGTTACAGACAAATCACAAGTATTCCGAAAAAATGCCATATATTATATGCTGCTTGTGGGTTATTTTTATGTATTTATATTACGAGTTGAAGTGAAGTCAAAAAGAAAATTTTGATATGTAATGAAGTCTTTAGCCTTCCCAAAATTACTTTGTATATGAGTACAAAAGCACGCTGATCTACGATTAAAGAGAGTTACAAAACAAATTTTCTCACAGCAATATCGACACACACACACGCACATATATATATATATATATGCTAAGGCATTGCATGCAAAACAAACTTATGAGCTTGCAGTACATGCGGAGGCAAACATAGGCATTTTTGATGTTTTGCAATACATTATCAAACAATGGAAATTGTATCAGATAGAAGAAAATTGAGAAATAAAATGGTGTTTGTAAACAGCGTGGTTGCTATAGGTTCATCACCTCAAACACAGTATATACTGATGCACCGATATAATGATTGCCAAGGGATCGATCACATCGTTTCCATGCATATATTCTAGTAGTAACGATATTCTTATGTTGTATTGTACCCATACAATGTATAGCATACAATTATTGTCCTGCACTGTTGCCTTATCATGCAAATAAAATAGGAACAACAACTCAGTCAAAGGGATCGCGCAGTAAGCGACTGACAACACAAATCGTCTTGCTTGTGCAGTGCTAGGGTTTCCACAGTGCTTCACAGTTGACACAATTCGTATGCAAATGAAGTTATAGACCACTTAATGAGAAATTGTGGTCAACATTCAAAAGTTCAGATAGGGTACATATTTTTCACACAAAGATTCACGACGAGATTCGAAGCTCACGTCAAATTACGCGCTGTTTGTCACCGCCCCGGTCTAGAAGCGCATATAGAATCCTGGAGAAAGGCTTCCCACAGATATCAAACTCTCATAGCAAACATTCTGTTGAAAAAACTTCAAGGTAAGTGAGATTAGTGCAGTTTTCTGAGTATATATGATTTGAGTTTCTGTTTTTTTGGCAAATAAACTTTAATAAAGAATTATAAGGGCGCATTGTATAAACACTTTGTATATACATATGTATGTATAAGTATATGAACAGGATTTTTGTGAAGAAAATTCTAAATAAATGGGAGGATTGTGCACAACATTTTCAAGTTGATGGCTATTACAAGCAAAAAATAACATCCATTAAGGAAATACATGAAAATGCATGTGGACTGTCTTGCTTGATTTTCGAAATAAAGCGCTGAATACAATGTACAGATATTGACGAGCTTCTCTTTTTTGTACATGCAGCCGAATTGAAGCACAAAAAACGCTTTTTAGCTAGATCATTTTATGAGATGGCATCTGCCAAAGCAACATGGAAGGGAAACTAAAATCTGATAAACTTTGTTTTCATCTAAGCCCAATGCATGAAAGTTTCCTTTGGTTTATCTATGATTGACGCAAAGAGAAAGACACACTACTGCAAAAAAGTAATTCAGAAAAAAAGCAACAATTTAAATGATTTTGCAATGCGTATGTTTATATATGCTCAGAATACTTCTATACTGACAAAGACTCTATTTTGGACTTAAGGTAATTAAGAATATAGAGATTTCTTCGTTGATATAACATACATCTTCATCAATCAACAGCTAGAGTTGCCATAAACTCAGGTGCAGGTGAATGAGTCCATAATACAATCAGAAATAGCAAGTTATGATACAATTTATCACCTAGCAATGAATAGTTTATTTTGCAAGCAACGCATGCATTCTCAATAGTCGCGAATAAAACAATAAATGACTGAATTTATGGTGTTGGTTTATAACAGATATAATTAAATGCATTTTTTGTTTTTGTTTTCAGCATCTTTTCTGTAAATATTTATAAATTTTCCAAAAAAATAAAACATAAAAGAGAACGGTAGTTCTACTAAAGATCAAGTCTCTTTTTACAGTTTGCTTTTATTGATGAAATTTAAAGACAATGTTCTAGCTTTTTAGCTATCTTCTTCGCAGCGTGATGACTAGATGATGAGAACCTCAATTGTCAATATCTATATATGTAGTGTAGCTGTTTAAATATATAGAAACTATTCTATACATGCATTTCTCCCTTCATTATTCTCTGCATTTTCTTGAATTGTTCCGCACTTTGGAAAAGTATTTAATTTTATATGAACTATCCATACGATCGCAATAAATTACATGCCAAAAATATTATCCACGAATAATAACAAATATTTATCGCAATCTCTATAATAGCTTTATTATCGCGTATGCATTTAAATTAATACTTTACCGGGATAAATTAAGTCAGAGAGCAAGCTTGATGCAGCCAACATTCATAAAAAGAATTCATTAAGTGAGTATATATATATTACAGTACGCATCTTCGTGTTATTCAAAGGTTATTACATCATATAGACGCCTTTAAAAAGGAATGTGTAATATTCAATGATGCTCCTTTAATTGTCAAAGTTAAAGAAAAAGTAACATCACAACAAAAAGTATCTACATTTCGTTTTCTTTTCTTTTACACCTCCCTCATATATCATTTAGAAAATATATTGAAAATAATGTTGCTCTCCCCACCACACACACACACTCACCACCATACTTAATACTATCAAATATATAATATTGGACGAAATAATTTTCATACATCCTATCTTTGATCCTTTCCTAAATGATCACTTATGTTCATTCAAAATTGTGCAATGTTTAATCCAGAAGACTGAAGAAAATAAATTTATCTTACGTACAAACGTACACATCATGCAAGAGGAAAAAAAGATACGCGTTAATTTATCAATACAAATAATACCCTAGAATTCATCATATGAGTGGCTTGAAGTTTCCGATGCCTTAATATACAATCTAGCTGTCGCAAATGAAAACATCCTGCAGGCTTCATGATAACGTTGATACATAAAACATGCGTTAGTCTCTTCATAAATAACAAAGCAAAGGCTCAAGTAATTACTAAACGGTCTTACATGATGCACCTGACAGGATTAATACACATATATACCACGCCTATAAAGTTTTTCGTCAAGATATGAACTTGATCACGTGTGTTGAAAAAAAGCCTTGTTCCCAAATGAAATAGTAAACGACGTGCTGATCTTTCCATGTATGTAAATTGAAGATACATCATAGAGATGAAAGCTCAATATTGCGATAAAAATATTTCAATGAGTTAATCAATAGATTATTTTTACTCAAACAAATTTGTCTCCAAGTTGCGCACATAGCTATAGTGATTACTTATATTTACCGACATTTGTATCAATGGAAACAGTCTGTTTTAATATTGTAGTACTAAAATATGTTACTATCACGTGACGAATAGAGAATATAAAATTCATGACGTCTGTACTCATACAATTATATCGTTATCTTATTTTGACTTGTATTTTACACGCGAACAGGGAAAAAATAACTTCGTCTTCATAAACAGGAATATTTATCGATGCACACTTCACAACTTCAATGATCACATGAAAATCAATAAAATACATTGAATTTTTTTTTATGGGAAGCACTGTAACCATAATACACTGATGGTTCCTAAACTACCCATTATACATGAATAGTATAAAAGACCGTTCTTAACGTCATCTTAGGCATCATATCATGTTTTTGTGTGTGATCATTTGAAAAGATTCCCAAACAAGAACATATGATCATGTTTGGATGCAATAGAAAGAAATATAAAGGACCACCCATTGTAACATTGAAAGTCTCGTTATCTTGAAACATATATCTGTAGTTGATAGTAATATACAATATAGTGACACCCAAACAGAACCAACCCAATTTCGTGGTTTATTTGAGCTACGTTGATCATACGAAAGAACGAATGTTCGTTCTCTTTTTAAAAACGAGAGAGAACAGAAGGAAACGCATATAGGTGCCACAATGTAATTAATCTCATTTGATAAACATGCCGTGTCTATTTGCTTGGCCATTAGCGATAATTAGTGACTGTTTGGACATTCAACAGCGTGTAATAACACATACCGTGAGCTTTCAATGTTCAAAAGAAGCGACGAAAATGCGATTAAATATTCAACTTTACCATGAGTAAAGAAAAAGTTTCTTTTGAATTTGCTGTACTTTTTACTGTATGTAGTGTTGTTTGTAACAAGGCGAAACAACTAAGCCCTGTAAATCAGGGAGAAAAAGGTACATGGTATTTTATTTTATAGAGTATAAGAGAGCCTTGCATTATAAGAACGACAGTCATTATAATATGCTGTTATATTGAGGTAGTTACCCTGGTGAGAACTTTTAGCAAGACAATATCTAACCCAGTGGGAAACACAAGGATCTGTTTATGCAAAATAAATTGTAGATCAAGTCCATATACATACAGTATGTTAAAATATAACGTCATTATCCATAGAGTAGCTCTATTTGTTATATATTGTTGAGCTTCTGCTCTTTCTGTCGTGGATTTAAAACACCCCACATTGATGAAGTGCAAATCATAAAGAAAAAATGATGATCGTGCACGAAGATTATTGTTGGAATTACCATTATAGAACTAAGTTATATTTGCAGTAAATTACACAACATTCGTAAGCATCGTCGATTATTACATGTACAAATATGCTAATTATAAATATTTAGATCATAACTAAGTCGACTGTTGCAAGACGTCAATAATCAACATCGTACGGTTGCTACCACGTAGATTGCGTTGCACTTTGATGCTTGAAAATTGATTCAATTCGCATACATTCAAAATGCGCATCCGTTAACACAACTCATCAAGTATCAAAATATCTTACTCGGTTATTCCTAGAATCAACTGAAACCTCTGTTTCAATTTGGCAAAAAGAATTCGGTGAAAAAGACTTAATGACTTTTCCCTGCAGTCTCAATGAAATGATAATTACAACTATGTACATCTAATCATTTATTCGATGTATTGAAATAAAAAAGATATACACACAAGCTGAACCACAAAATCCGTGTGTCACGGACTTTTCCTTTCAGAAAATATATTTTACTGACAGCTATACAAATCTAGAAGTACGAAGTGAATTTTGAAATCTTTGAAGGGTGGTTTGGATCAACTATAATGTTTATATAATGCAAACTTGTGAGCAATGTGCTTTGAATTGTCTGCATTTGAACAATCACAGTTGGCGAAAATAATAAATACGACTTGATATGCAGAGATACGATGCCTCCTGTCGTGATTTGGGTTTCAAAAGTTAATGATGCGAAAGAGACGTATAATCACGATGTTAATCAGTCTTCTTATCTCCATCACATAATAATACATTAACTTAAAAAGGTTCAAAATATCGTACACTTAGGTTGGCACAAAGTGCTTACATTCATGCGATTTTCACCTGCTAAATCATTGCACTGTTTTGGCATTTGAAAAGTCGTCCATATTGGACAAAGAATATCTACATTTATCGTTAGAACAATGTTTGCACTCAAAAGACAAGGAAGTACTAAGAATGGAAGAATTTCCGTAAATTTGGTGAAATAAAGTACCGATGTAAGTAAGAATAATAATTATCTTCTATAAGAAAACGGCTGTGAAGAAAGGTGTTAATTCCTACTGATCAAAGTTTTACACTCATTACAAATCATTTGAAACTTTTCTTGAATTCTCGTCTTCATAAATAGTTGATTCATTCTGAAATCATGTTTGTCGTGATGTTCAATGCTACAAATGGTGTGTAAGTTTCATTAATATAGTGCACTATAATTCATTCATACTATACAACAATTCAATAGTCAATGATGACAAAGAGCGATAAAAACTTAAAATAGGTTTAAGAAGAACTGAAATCAATTCAAGCAATACTTCACAGTAACTACGCCTTCAAATTTAAGACAATTAAGTTTAAAATCACAATTATTTTGTAAATTGAACCCGCAAAGAAAATATGCGAACTTTGTTCGATCATTTTTGGAGATTTTATGTATTTGCCATAAAATCGTCTAACATCCTTCGTCCTGTAATATGTCTCCAAAACATAACTACCTAAAAATTCTGTTACCAACAGATCATACTTTTTTACTTATAAGATTTACAAGTGAGTTCAAATCTATTCCATTAAAAAAAAAAAAAATACGAACTATTTGAATATATAACAATAATGTTACACAATACTATATAAACAGAATCTTCCGATTGACTTCCCTGTTCACTTTTGAAATTGACACAAAAAAAGTTGAAAAGGACTGCGTGTCAAAAAAGTCGAACAACTTGCGAAATATCATCTTAAATGTATGCACAATTATAAACACATATATACCAGCTAATTCATAATGACCGTCTCTTATACTTAACCTCATAATTCAGAAAATGTGTTAAGTTGTTAATGGTGTAAATAAACACTTAGGAACCTCGTGGCAAGCCGAGAATAGTTTACCAAAACTTACATACTAAAATATTTACAGAGTAATGAAAACATCAAGACCATTTGAGCGCTGAGCATTATATAATGAGAAATGTTACAATTATTGAACTTGAAAAAGTTAAATATTTCCAAGAATTGAAAGAAATAAGGTTCTCTAACCCCGTCGATTTTGAGTTTGTTTTTTTAATATTAGGCGACTCATTGCATCCTTATGATAATTGATTAGCACCTCATTACCGCGCAGACAATTCAAACAAAAAGTCGCGTGAAAGTCGCTTTCGAGCAGTAAATCAACGCGGGAGCCGCATGTATAAGGATGTTTTTACAGTTGTTCAGAAAATAAAAATATTTTCAATTTCATGTATTCCTCTGCTAGCCATCTGTTGAATTTTGAATTATTTGTTTTCATTTTCCAAAAAACGTTTTAAGTTTTGAAGTGATTTATTGAACACTATGGTATGTACGCTTGGCATATTATATACAGGCACGCTAGATCATTTTCACTGAGCTGACTGCGACAAATGATATGATGGATGTTCGATGTAAACACAAACTTTATAACAATTATCATTGGCAACAAAATCCAAAACCATCGTCAAAGAAGAATGAAAAGTTTAAAAAATAAGATTCATAAAAATCTCTTTGCAAAATATGCACATACGCGCAAGTCTGGTGGGATTTCTAAGTCGCGACTACAATCTGTGCTGCAAATGTGTTGAGGTCAAAATACAGCCAATTAATATCATAAGTCACGCAAAGTGCTCATATTTGGTACCTTTAATTGCTAGTGGGTTGTCCGTGCATGTAAGATATCTGTCAAGATACAGCATTTATACACCCGATATATTTACCATAATGATGAGTTCGCTAACTGGAGATAATGTGAAACCCTGTGACGTCATCGCGATAACAAGTGCTACACCAATCAGCTTTCTCCAATACTTGCATAAAGTTTATTTTCTATACTCGAATAGCATTGTCATTGGTTTGAGTAGCATCCATCGCGACATTGATGACTATATAACTGAATCTCTTGCAGATCTAGCGTGTTTTTGTTGGTTGACAAGGACGTTAGCTGACTGAACAGATCTAGACACAGAAGCTCATCCGTACATTGATATTATTTCAAAAAGGGAAATCTGAATCAAATCCGCTGCTGATCCACTTGTACAAATATAAATTGAAACATCAAAAGCGTACGACATGTTTCCAGGAAGACTGCCACCTTTGAGTTTCACTCCACAACAAATTGCCAAGGTATGCGAAACGCTAGAAGAGAGCGGAGACGTGGATAGATTGGCAAGATTCCTGTGGTCATTACCCATCGCTCCTGCAACACTTCAGGCTTTGAGCAAGATGGAAAGTGTGCTTCGTTCCCAGGCAATTGTGGCGTACCACATGGGTAACTTCAGAGAACTTTATCACATTTTAGAAAATCATCGCTTCAGTCGTGACTCTCACGGCAAGCTCCAAATGATGTGGTTGGAGGCGCATTACGTTGAGGCAGAACGTATGAGAGGACGAGCGCTTGGTCCTGTAGACAAGTACAGGGTTCGAAAAAAGTTTCCTTTACCACGGACGATCTGGGATGGCGAGCAGAAGACACATTGCTTCAAGGAACGGACGCGAACCTTGCTACGAGAATGCTATTTACAGGATCCGTATCCAAATCCAACGAAGAAGCGAGAATTAGCACACGCGACTGGTCTTACTCCAACACAAGTCGGAAACTGGTTTAAAAATAGACGGCAACGTGATCGAGCTGCAGCGGCTAAACACAAGTAAGTCTGTTGAAATGACTAGTTTATATGTGCGTGGATGTATCTCCATGCAATATTGACATACACCCTTTTGCATGACTGAAAAAATTATGTAAGAAAAAGCTCCTTACACGTTACAGATTTTTTTGATTTCTTTTATAACCTACTCATCTTCATAAATGTATGTCTGCACGTGGAATTACTTAAAAGCGCATGTTGTTCAGCAATTATCAGACGTCATTTCAACGGTAATTTGTTTTGAAAAAGATGTAGATAGTTGGTTGTGACAAAGATTTAAAAGCAGTATGGCTTGAGAAATGATACTTTAAAACTGAATGGGCGTGTACTGTTTTTGTTACATGGAAAGTTGTATGTGATGCAGTGAGAACTACTGAAAGTTCAAAATCAGGTGACTTTAAACATACACAAGCATGCGCGTTTCTAAGCCAGCAATTCTTTTATTTTAAACAAAAGTAAAAAAATACACTCGACGACAAGTTTCTCTAAAACGTGCACGAGAAATGGTGAATTTTTTTGAGAAATGAAGTGAAAAGGAACGAGATCATTTTTGACCAGATAAATGTTCCTTTACTTTCATTCATAGCTGTACAAACATTTTTTATAAAATGGTTATGAATAAGATAGGTCCATTGCATTATCACGCATAAATCAAAGAGTGTCGTAAACTTGCACTTACATAGTTATTTAAAGATGCATTCACATAGCCAGCCGTATATAACAACTCAATTATCATTTGATGGACTTCATCATTAGATGCACTCAGTCCCAAATGCAGGTGACATTTTATTCAAAAATACTTATCAAGAGCTCAATCCTCATCTTTAGATTTTATTTATATCGACAGTAAATGTTCGTAGTCGTAGCTACATACAACATATAGAGATACAACGATGAAACAATTTTCAAAATGCCTCGTCTTTAGATCAAACATATTTTTTGTTCGTGTCACTGTGAGCAAGAATGAAAGCGGCATGGCAAAGCAAAAGTTTTTTTTTGACAATTTCCATTAAAAAATGCCAAAGAGTGACCGGCGACGAAATTATTTACTTGTGAAGTTGCAGCGTTAAGAGACTATAGATAAATATCTTTGGAGTATTTCATATTTTTCTAAATACCTTATCACATGAAATAAGTCTTGTAGCCTCCCTGTAGTGTTTTAGCCACAACATATTTCCACAAATTTTATTAGTATAAGCACAGGCGCACGCAGGTATGTAGGTAGGTTAGCTAATTCCTTCCTTCCTCACTTGGCAGTTATAGAAATCATAAACTACTGATCTTCAGTCAATAATGCCAAAATTTTATCATATCAAGTCTATTCAAACAGCCAACATTTTTTCATTCTGCATGTTTAGCTTGAATCCATATAAACAGTGACTTTATTATGGACAAATCACAAATGAAATAAAAACTTTATTAGACAAGCTTCCAAGCTGAAAGTAGCCATATCGTGTTTTAGAAAGCCAATAATTTAGCTACACAAGACTACGAGCCGAATATCAAGAGTGAATTTTTTCAGTCGAGAGTAAAAAAGGCTTGTTTGCATTTGTAAATGCTTTTTGTAATGGTTATAATGATAGAGTCTAAAAAATTTTAAATTTTTCCCCAGCGTTAACGACTACCGTGTAAACTTTTGGCTTACAAAAAGTTGGATGTGCAAATGAGTAGAATTTAACTTTTTATTCTTTTGAAGCACGTATATTAGCCAATTCGCTTTCTATCAATGACTTAGTATAATCTGCTTGTCTATAGGAAAACGAATGAGCAGTGGCTTACAATAAGGCGCAACTCGACAAAATTTATCGGCTGTAGCGTACGCGTGATTCGTCAAACAATATGCTATTGTTACAATATCGTCAATATCAAGTTAGGTTCGTCAACTTTCATACACATGCTTCACAAACACACAAGAAAATATTTTGCCAGAATTTCAAAATTCGGTCAAGGGAAAATTTGCTAACAGTACGCAAGTAGCACGCTTCTACATTGAAGGTTTATGTTGTAGTAATGCAACTATTACTTGCTCACAGCATAGTCGAAAATGTTCAATTTAGGTTAAGAATGTTATCTTCGCAAAAATTATTCAATATATGGTGAGCAACTGCAACATCGTTGGTGAGTAAACTTGTGAAATGGGAATTATTTTCTCTAACTGTGTTTCATGGTATTTTCACCTTCAACATTTTCGTAAAATGTAACAAACTCAATTTCCAAAAAAATTACTCAATAACAACTCTTTCGACACTGGATGAAAGAAAATGCTTGGAATTGTTTACTCCAAAAATGAACAAAAAAACAGCCAATTTAAACGATAAAAGACAAACCGGATGTAATTTCGTCCTGATTTATAAACAAATATTTGATAGATACACAAATTATCTTCACGTTTTCCCCTGTGTTCCTGTTTATGACGTCTTGAGAAAGAAATCGTAAGCAGAAAGTTCTTCAAAATATGTTTTCTTTTCATGAAGTAAATGGTCATGAACATAATGCCGAGAATATTTACAAAAAGCACTGTTCCATACATTTATATCTCAATTTAAATGTTATCAGCCTTCAGTATGTCTATAAATGCAGCCGTATTAATTAAAATGCAGCTGGACTATAGCAATCATTGTTCGAAATAAGAACACTTATGGACGAATATTAAGATAATAATGTGATACAGAGATGGCAAGTGTGAAATGCACTTGATGGCCTTTTTGATGGATGTTGATACCGTCTATATTAAAACGTAATCAATACGACAAGTCAATGTTGAAGTACACGTTAAATATGTACATTTACGTCGAGCACATGAAATTCCTAGACCACCTGAAGTAGCACTTAAAGTCTTTTAGGTGATAGACACGATTGCTTTGCCATTGCCACTAAACATAGAAATGAAACATAGAATATATTTTTCTGACTTGCTTTACAATCCTATTGCTACGTCAATATGAAAGAGCAATAAAAGGCAGAAAAAAACTTAAGCAAAATATCGTGGACTGAACAATGAACTTTCCTAAGATATTAATTGCATGGTCTTATTTATGGAGGAACAAATGACAAATATATTATATTTATTGTTTTTATTCTACCCATGGCAAAACTAACATAGTCATGTCATTAGCCAATCAAATTGCAAGATTTCTTCTAACAAAAGTTAGCGATATGATGAATTTCGTGCTTAATATTAAAGCTGTTTTACTTGACAAATCACAGCCAGATGTCATACCAATGTTATATAAACACAATGAATCATGGAAAATGTTGCAATATACATGATTTTCTTTTATTTTTTCCTCACATTTTTATTTTTTTCACTTTAAGCACGGCGAACACATTTCATGAGCTCAAAACTGAGGTGATCAAGTAAGAATATTTTTATTCCAAAGCTCTTTGACTGAAAAATCGATAAGGAATAAAACAGAAAAAGTAATTAGTTTTTGCAACCAAATAAAGTTATCAGTTCAATACTAAAAAATTAGGAAAATCAAAGTTAATATTCATTTAACTTTTTTCATAACTCAATTTGAATAAGGCCAATGTATAAAATGGTTGCTTCGTGCAAAAGGATAACAAACGTCTTGTTGTTTGGAATAAATCTGCTCATGCTTATGGTGTATTTTTGTTCATATGTAAAAACATTTAATATTTCATGGCTTTATATCTAAGTAACCTTGATACTTCAGAAGATGTAAATATTTATATCAGCCTAACGCCTTATTAGAGAACAACTATTGCACAAGTTTATTGCAGTATCCAATATGCTGCGTATTGTGTACTAGTTTATGACATAAATGGTCGCATGGATCAAGTGTGTTTTGGACAATTTGGTTGCCTGCAGTAACAACTGTTCTTAGTTAGGATATTACCTAACGACATGTTGTAAAGGCCATTTTGCAACGAGTGTTGCAATAGCGAAGATTTAGTCGAGAAAAAGTATGAATATCCCAAAATTATCAATTCCATGACTGGTTGACACAACTTTCAACAAAACCTACGTTACATGCTAATATTATGCATATCACACATTGTACATTAATATCCTTTGCCATCTGTCAAAATAAAATTTGTACATTAATATCCCTTGCCAACTCTCAAAATAAAAAAGCAAAATGCCCACAGTAATACATAATGAAGATACACAAAAATGCATTGTAGAGATAAATTGCTCTCTAATATTCTATAATACTAGAAGTCCAGTGATGTATTTTTTACAACGCAATCCTTTCTTCTGCTGGACAGAAGGAACGCAATGCATGAATAGCAAGTGACCAATTTCCACCTTATCATTTGTTTCACATACAAAAATAGACGTTCCTATCAGCAAGTTTGATCAAACTGTCAATATATCAATCAGATCAGAAGGCTGGGAATCAGTTTCAATTGCACTTCTTTAATTCTTTGTTCGTTCAACCATTGCAGCTTGTCGTGTCGGAAATGACGACAGTTTTTTGATAGCTCCACTGAAATGTTCCGTATGTAAACATGTGCAATGCATTTTAATGATGTCTTAGCTTAGACTGTATGGAATTTTTTCTGTTTTCTGGCATCACTAGCAACGATTTTTAAATATGAGTAGAGGAGTTTATCTTTGCGGATCTTGTATTTTGGGAATGTTTTATCGTGTAGATAACGGTTTGATATTTGCAAAGGACACACATAGACGCAATGTGTGAGATCGATCGATAGTCACATGAGATTTATATTTTAGCAAAACGATTCAGACATGATATATAGTTATACATTCCAAAAGAATATTTTTTCGATGTTGACATCATAGATTTGATTGGTTTGGGGAAAGAATTTCACCTTCATATACGTCAATACGTATGCAGTAGCTAGTATCCTTTCAACTTTTCTGCGCGCATTTTTTTGAGACATAATACGTTTCAAGATTTAAGAAATCATGCTAAAGAATCAAATTTCCAATTAAGTTTTCTTTAAAGAGCATAATGTCAAAATCCAGCTGCTTTCGATGAAATTTAGTGCTAGACGAAGAGTCAACCATTGCAATGATAACTGATGAAGACAGCAAATCCGGAAAAAAACTCTCGTAACCATTTAAGGAATTTTCTAGAACCAAAGAAGCCAATTCAAACATTTTTACTTTCCATCTAAGTAGATTTTTCTAGAATGAAGTAGCCATTTTAGAGACTTTAACCCACGATTTAATTTATGGTTGTCAAATGCTACTCCTGGCTACAAATCGGGAACTAAATAAATCTATATGTACTTTAGCATTTTCATTGGGAGAGGAGGTGGGGGGTGGACTCAAATGGAAACATAATTTTTCCATACCGTTAAATAACAAACAACTTTACACGTTTCATGTAAAACTGAAAAAGTGTAACCAATAAAAAGAGTCATGACCAATGAAGATTAACCATGCACTATTACCATTTTATACTAAAAGTAAACGGTGTAGCAAACTGTTAAATTGATGTGCGGATCTCTTATAACTATTATCCTTTAACATCAAATACATTTCTTTACGATTTTCCAGGTCTGAAGAAGAACAATCGTCGAGCAAACTTCATGATAACACTTCCACGGAGCCGGATAAAGATACCTGGAGTGATGATGAAACACGAAAATCGACGACAGATGATTTAGGGTTTTAAAAATAACTAAGATCAACTAAGTATAGTTATATATAGAGATATAAATAGTAAAAATTAAGTATTGAGGTAATTTTTAGCGGAATAACTGTTATACACAGTAAGAGCTTGTCATGGAGAGACATGCCGAAAATCAATGGTCCTGTAGCATTCATAAAATACAACGGAGAGAACACTCAAGACTACTACTTTCTCTTAATATATTTATTGATGAATTTTCCTTTCCTCTATCATAAAACACTGTTTGAATTCTGGTTCAAATCAAACTGTAAGGAAAGCATGGCCCAAACACCAAAAGATGGAACTAGACTGCACTATTCCAAGTTCTGAGAAAGTTACAGGGGCCTTTCTTTTCTTCATTCCTTCTACACTTGGTAATTTGAGATTCGAATGAAATCAGACATTCCGGAAAACCATAAACATTTCTTTGGTTCCAGACTGCCCCGAATAAGCTGTCGCTCTAACAACGAAAGGCTATCCAATGACAGGAAAATATGGATTATAGCACGAAGTATAATTGTTGTTGTTTTAACTTATTGCTTGTAAATTTATTTCAATGACAACTGGTATTTCTAGGTCTATGTAAATTTTACAAAATTAGATATATATTCAAATGCTAGAGTGCATTCTGTGTTTTACTATGTCAGAGAACGAAACTGACTTAAAAAGTAAATTGTAATAGTTTTCATAATAGTTTGGCAAGGGGCATGAAAAGAAAATAAGAGGAAAAAATGATTCGCAATAATCTGCTGACAAAATTTTGTTTCAATTATATTTAAAATCTTTAAATGATATTTAAGACTCTTCAAAAAGATAATTCAGAATTTATACTCGAATGAGATGAAATGAAAAATCGAAATTTTACCAACCTCAAAGCTGCAAGAGTTATCGTGTAAGAAAACCCTTTTAAAAGTATTGAAAATTTGCAATTATATAACTTTAAGGCTGGCGGTGTATCGATTACTACTTGTGGTTGAATTTATTTTTAGCTTTTTACTGACGAACGACACGCGCATGCAAGTAGCTTAAAGGACAATTTCCTGCTTAGACATTGATTATTTGAGTAATGTTCAGTGATATAGCCATATATGTCGAGCATAGTTCTAAAGTAAGTTACTGAGCACATACTAACATCTCAATTGAGCGACTAGAAATGAGACTCGTCAGTCTCACGGAGCCATTTTTGAAAGTGTTCAACTTGAAAATCACTCGACTCCATTTTTTGATAATATTAAGTCGATTCTCAACCTCCTTCAGGAAATTTTTATATGAGCCCAAGCAAAGAGAGATTCCAAAAAATGTTGCCAATTAAAGAACATACTTCCACATTGAGTTTAATTTTGACGACAAATGTTTTCCTGAACGTTTAGTTTCAGCCAATTTCAATTCTAGAATGTTACATTGGTGAATGAAACCTGTGGCCTGTTTCATAGTAACTATTTTTTTCTTTCTTCTGGTAAAAATAATCCACGAAGACGATCTTCATCTTACATCTCATAGCACAGTGAAGTGAAACTTTTCGAAGAAAATTTGCTTCTGTTGAAAAAAAGCAGTCTACAATTGATTTTTGTCCTCAAAAATTATAGTTGTACAGATGTCCTTTGTACAAACTTAGACTTTTTTCATGATATGCGTGTCTTAGTTTTTGTTTGACTGCTATGCAAACATTCCATTTTTTATTTGTTTTTTTTTCTAATTTCAACCCACTATTGTTTTCTCGAGAGAGAGAACTATGTACTTTTCTTCACATTCAATGGGAATTATTTTCACAGCGGAGTCCTTTTTTGCTGTTTAGCCTTTTCTATTAGTAGTCTTCAATGTTTGAAACAACTGCTCATCTGAATGAAGGATAACGTTGCCAAATTAACCTAATTCATATTATAAAGGAATTTGCAAAATCTTTATGATTTGTGTATTTTCATGATTCCATATCATGAAAATCAGCAATACATAGTAAATGACCAGTTTCCCTGACGCTACAATAATAGTTACACATTGATTCTTCACTTCACTCATGTGCACCCATCCATTGATCTAAAGAGGAGAGATAAAAATGTCACAGTGTAGAATCCAGATACTATAATACGGACTGCAATTTATGAATGGCAAACATTTTTTTGAAGCCATAATCAAGATGGAAGTATAAGCATTGAAAAAGTTTAAAATAAAATATTGTATAAATTTGAAATATTCTCTCAATTAATATCAACAGTTCACTTTGCTATACGTTTACTTACCATTTTGATGGTTAGGTGTTAGTTGGTTTGACACCGGGGTGGTCTGGGCATCTGATTCATTTTTTGGGTCAAGAATAGGATTTATTTCCTTGACATCTTAAGCGGACCACCCCATCTCCACTAACACCTTCACTTCGATGTAGTTAAAAGTCTTTTTCATCTCTTTGCCTTCATGGTTAGGTGTTAGTTGGTCTGACACAGGGGTGGTCTGGGCTTCTACAAGTAAGCCAACCACCTCATCTTAACTAACACCTTCACACAGACATGGTGGATGAACGAAAGAGACAGAGAAAAAAATTTTGTTCCTCGATCAATTAAGGTTTTTTGCTTGCAGTTTTGTTCTTGCAGTTGTGTTCCTGGTGGGTTTCATTGACTTTCGAGCCCACACTTCATATAACAACTTGAGATGATTTGCTTTGCTGCGCCGACGTATTCATACCTCGACATATTATTACCAAACTGTTAATATCTTCATAAAAACATTTACATGCAATACGTAGAAATTATAAATACGAAAGTATTTTTTCCTGGAGAAAGATGGAACCATGCGATAATTTTTCTTTAAGGCTTCTTCGCGTGAAGAGGGAATCTAAAAATAGCAAAAGCGTAAAGAGAGAGGACGTTTCAATAATTGGTATAAGACACATAAAAATGACGTCAGCCTGTTTCATCCAAGTAGGAATGTCTTGGATGCACTCTTGAGTGTGGGTGGAAGTAGTCTTCAGAGGATAGCAACCGAACTACACTTGCAAAAAACCATGATACAATTAATTCTCAAGCAACCATGCAGATGCGACAGACTACCGGTTCATCAATAAAACTGAAGCCTGCACGATCAAAGCAACCAATTTCTATAAAAAGACAAAAAACAGTGTTTATCTAAAATAATATAAAAAGAGAATGCAGTTTCTATGGACATTCTCCTCCAGCCCATTGAACAAAGTCTTTTAGGCTCAAAGTGTTTACCAAGGAATTTTCACGAGCAGCAACAATGATTTCGTCAAAAATGCAAGCAGTTCACAACAGCAGGTAAAGCAGTAATTTTGCAATAATTTTCACTTTTTTTGCAATAATTTTCACTTTTGACAGCGTCCCATTTTTATGGTCAACGATAATCGTAATCTCAATACATATATTAAAGCAGACACTTTGTAAAAGTCGACTTAATGTAACTTTTTCTGCAACCGTAAAGTAATAAAAATCATCAGCATAAAACAAACACTTTCCATTTCCCTCGCTTTATAAATACACGATCGATTTCAAAATAGCAAATACCATGGTGAATGGTGATAATAACAATTTAATAGTTCTTAAAGGAACAGCAGTAATAGTTCTTAAAAGAACAGCAGCTATTTTGAAATCCATCTTTACGTTTGTCACAACGACAAAGTCTCTGTTTCATTATTGAAGAAATACACAATTCTACTGTAGACAAATTTTGGGCAGGTTCCCAAACAAAAAATTTGCCCAGTTAATGCCCTCTGTGGATGAACGCATAATAAACTTCACAGCAAAAATCTCTTATGGTAAACCTAATAGTGGTGATTTGCAAATGCTGGAGAAATTCAAGAATTTTTAACGTCTTCCTTGCCGCATGTTGCGGTCAACTTATCGTTCTGTTCTGTTAAGCATTGGGAGATAACATCTTTAACATAATTTAAACATGATGCAATGCTGAATAACTAATCAAAAAAACTCTCCAAGCATGGTTTTTCTCTGTTATTTCAAAACCAATAGTCAATGCTAAACCTTTTTCGGTAAACTGTAAAGTGTTTGCTCTTGAACTCTCAAAAAAAACCCAGCAGCTTATTGTTGAGAATTGAAATCAAAATTTTCATGATGCAATTTATTTAGCCAAAGATTCTGATCGCTTAACGCTCAAAAAACTTGTTGAAAACAACAAAGACGAATACTGAATCAACTATGAAAAGGTTTGGAATGTATGGAATTCGTCCAGTTAAGCATATTCTAATTCATGAGTTAATCCTATTGTCATTAAACGGAAAAGGGTAGCGCGTTCACTTCAATTTCACACGTCAGGCGTATTTTTAGCTATGATGGTGATAACAAATATCATGCTCAGACATCCTGGTAAATTTCACAAACAAAATTATCAATATCTTAATTATTATTCGGATGATCTGTATTATTAACTATCGTATTTCATATAAGCCTAGATTTCATCAAACGCCGCCTTCTAATACTGTATCTTATCAATTGATATAATTCATGTCATGTGACTATTTGCCAGCTACCACTGTAGTTATTTAAATTCGTACGAACAGTCGTTTTAAATTTGCCTTGTTTTTATGTTGGAAGCCTGGCATAAATAAAGCTATAGTTTTGGTTAAAAATCATATATTTCACACTTTCATTCAAATGAAAAGTTAACAATAATAAATGCTGAAGCGTGCATAAGACGAAATACGGTTGTAAATCACAGGCAACAAGCTATCTTTAGCAGTTACCAGTCAAGCATATGAAAATGATTTCTTCTGTCTTTAGATGCATATGTTGTATGAGCACATGATTATGAATGAAATATTTGATTTTCATGATGGAAGTAAATTAAGTATATATGACACAACATGTTTTCTGCTCTCAACTGTCCTCTTTTCAGGGGTCGCGCCACTGCAAATCATCTGACTCTATCTATTTCTGCCCACTGGCGTACGGGACGGGGAGCAGTTGCCCATCCAAGAAAGTTTGAAGATTAAAAAGTTAGGCAAAGTTTAAAGGTTATTCAGAAATATGGCAGAAAACTCATTGTGAGTTGAGGAAAATATTTACTGCCACTCATGAAATGACAGCTCCCGTTCGCCCATGTTTTTGTCTACTGTATCCTTTTCTCTCAAACCACACAACTTCGTGTCCTTTTTCAGTGCATCCATCCACTTTTCTCTAAGATTCTTATACTTGGTGGTAATTCTAACACCTATATCTGGTTTTGATGAGATATTTCACTCTAAATGGTTGAAAACCTTTCAACTTATGCAATTGTAGAGTTTTGCAAGTTGTATGATACTAAAACGCATCAGTTTCGTTTCCAATTACAAAAGAATTCATCATTTGAAGGTTTTGAAAAACTTCTGCAATTTTGAAACGCCTTCTAAAAAACCTAATTGACTTTTCCTGCTGTAAGATTCGTTAATGTCGCGGAAAATTCCTGGGTCTAGATTATCACATGCCTATGCCAAAATGTTATTTGTTAATCCTAGTTCATTGATGGTATCAAAGAGAAATGTTTGATTAGTATATTTACATAACGAGGAGTATAATGTTTAAAACAATCACGCAAGATTGGGCTCTTCGATGAAAATAAGGGTGACAATGAGTCACATGACAAAGAAAGTCAATACAGACACATTAAATATAAACACTAAGTGTGAATGCGAACGACGTGCAGAGTTTTGTAAAAATTAGCATTAACAACGACGAAATTCACGCAAGGCCGTGGCATTTCCTAAATGCTTCCGCTAACCAATCAAAAGCGCTCGTTCGTGACCCATTGACATATTTGCGCTTGCAGCAGCGTGATATAAAAAGCTGACATTTTCCCAAGTAAATATGCCAATTATAATTTGATGAAAGCAGCCAAACGACCTGCCACAGTCATACAAAATACGCAAACTCACACAAAACAAACGCAACCCACTCGGGTATATACTGAAAATGAATTACAATACGGACGCATTGGCAGTCGAAACAAACGTGAACGATACTCGTGGAAACGGCGCAACTTTCAGTTTTAAACCTGAGCAGATAGCATGCCTATGCGACGCACTTCGTCAATCAAACAACATGGATCAATTGAGTCGATTTCTGTGGTCCCTACCGCCTCATGATCTACTTAGTTGTGATGAAAGTGTGCTTAAAGCTCGTGCTGCAGTAGCGTTTCACCAAGGAAACTACCGTGAACTTTACGCAATACTCGAGAGTCACAATTATGAGGCTTCATCGCATGAAACTCTTCAGGAGCTTTGGTACATGGCACACTACAGTGAAGCGGCGAAACAACGAGGTCGTGCTCTGGGTGCTGTCGATAAATACAGAATACGGAAAAAACATCCGCTGCCTCGTACCATTTGGGATGGCGATCAGACGGTGTATTGTTTTAAGGAAAAATCCCGCGATACTCTTCGGCAATCCTACCAACATAATCGTTACCCAACACCACAAGAGAAACGGGAACTGGCAAAGGCAACAGGACTAAGTTTGACACAAGTCAGCAACTGGTTCAAGAATCGCAGACAGCGAGATCGAGGAAGTGAGAATGGCAAACGGTTAGTCGAGAATCCTTTTGTCCAACGTTTTCAACGCTTGTTTTAAAGTACACTGTAAAATGAGCACAATAATTCTGAAAGACAATCTGTCTGTTTGAGCAATCCAATATTCCTTCGTTCCAAATTTGCTTGAATAAGTAAGCAAATACTTTTGATATCACCTTATTCCAGACAAGGTGTAGAGTTTCTGAAAAACCAAAAAACCTTCTAAAGACAAGACCATTTTCATTACATAGACATTATCGTGGTTTCAATAAAACACGCAAGTTTTCAGCAAAAGCGCACACAATGCCCTCAAAAATCAACAAATTAATCCCTCTGCTAGAAGCGGAATCAAAAATCCCAAACCGAGCCTTGTGTTCAAGCTATTCTTCTTCGTCTTTCCAGTTTGACATGGTCCAGATCAACATTTTTCATCATGTTCTACATCATTAAAATTTCCACTTTCGAAAATTCGCCTAAAAAGAGAAGCACTATCATATATTTTCATCTTAAGAAGCAAAGCATTGTTTAAAGCAAGAAAGTTAGAACTTTCAATTCCCCAAAATAAGACCTGTGATTAGAAATAGATTTCCACGAGGTTTTCTGTTTGAAACACCATTGTTTCCCTATGTACGCAGGAGACGAAAAATCAGTCGAGTTTTATCGTTAAATAGCGAACAAAATGCGAGGCCTCTTGAACAAACGAGACGCAAGAACACACTGTTTTGTCAATGACATAAGCTTCAAGTCTCGTATTTCTTTGCTCAAACAGAAACGTCTCTTGTGTCAAACGTTTACCAATAGTTTCGCTTTAAAATGGTAATAGGAGAATCTTACCGGAATAACTTAATCTCACGGATTGTGAATGTTTGAGACTTGATTAGAAAGTACAACGAAATGATATTCAAAATTGATGTTGACATGTGTTCATTGCTTCGCGCTTCGAGTTCTGGCAATTTGTTCGTCACAGCGACAAAGGCGTTACTTTACCACCATGCGCAAGAAGTTTGATTGGTAACAAAAATTTATTACTTTTTTTGATAGACAAAAAGAAGGCAATCTTGCAATAAATAGCTTTAATAGCAAACGTGAAAGGGGATGATATTTTTCCTGTTGATGCGAAACAAAAGTCATAAAACAAAGCGTTAATTGTGCACTTTTACATTGTAAGAAAGAAAGAAAATCATCATGTTTAATGGTAATATCATGTTTAATGGTAATATGTATTGAAAGGCATTTGTTCATCCTAATTTCTTCTCGATAAGACTTTAGTGGTGCCCGTTGCGGCGAGCATAAACAGACCAAGTGAAAAAAAGTTTTTTCCTTAGTATCAGAATAAAGGGGATAAGAAATAATAGGTTTGGCAGCTCTTCAATTTCTCTGTTCAAATCTTATACTTATACAAAGATCGGTAGGTTTGTAAAAGACGAAGTCTGATATCTGGTTACCAACGATTCTATCGAGCTCTTGTTGACATAAAGAGAAGCAACCGATTGTCTGATTTAAAAGGCAAATTTTATTCAATTAACATGTTCAGTACAATGAAGGAAAAAAGCGCAAAGTAAACTTTGAGCACAATTAAGTAAACACTCAAAACAATTCGTTAAAAGACAGTGATTAGAATATTGAGTAATGGACTAAAAAGCGAGTATAGTTAAAGCAGTTGAAATAAAACCAGTCAGGTCTAAATAAAACATTTCGCACAACTTGAGAGATAACGTAAATTGAAAATAGCGCAAAAAAAGAACAAAAATATTTAAATAAGAAGAGAATCGCAAATAAACAATAAATTAGTTCCTTTTAAAATCAAAATGCGCCATAATAAAGCGCAATATTAATTGCAGACACGAAAAATCCTGTTGATTTTGAAGTTATTTGCTAGAGGCGATTTTCCGGTCAATTTCCGTTCAATCACATCACTTGCGTCGTGTAAACGTCAGGTTGGCGTCATGTGAGATCGTGTGAGACGGTACTTTGACCAGCATATGGTATACTTGAATTACTTTTGAGTAAAAAAATCGTTCGCAGAGTAGAGTATTTTTTTATTCCAAATGTGCGCAGATTTTTCTTTAAATTTTGAATATAAATTTTTTAAGCTTTTTTGACGTTTTTCAGTTTTTTGAGCATGCCACAAGACATACATAGTGTCAGCCAGCATTGCATTGAAATTTAATACCCAAGTAAAAAAAAGATTTTTGGTTCAGTGCAAAGTCCACGGAAGATAATGGAAGAAGCTATTGAGCAAGTTAGGCAATATTTTCAGTTGCAATGGTTGAGTAAAATATAATTATTTGTGGATGTAGATGGTTCAGGTTAGTAGAACCTGAGAAGAACTAATGTTGTTGGTGTTGACTGACGTTTCGAGAACCTTGTGACTAATAATATGACTGACGTTTCCACAACCTATGACTACCGCTAAGGTTGTCTAAACGTCAGTCAACACCAATAACAACAGTCCTTCCCAGGACTCTCCAACATGGACGATCTACAAACATGTAACGATACTCCCGGCTTCAAACCATTTACTTTAAAACACAATTGGAAGTTAAAACTGCTGGGAATTTGCCTCCTGAAAACCACACAAACAAAAAAACACGTTTGAAATCGAGAGACTTTCAGGGATGTAACTGAGGTCTCGAGATTAGGAGAGAATGGCTTAATTTTCCCTACCAAAGGGCGAGGTGTAATGTAATATAGTATGTTATCCCTAGCAAACTCGCTTTTTTAAATATTTTGTCATGAAGTATTAAATTTCGCGTTTTGAATTTTCAAAAAATCTTTGCTCCTAAACGAATTTCTCTCCCGACAAATTCTTTCTCTCCCGACAGAAAATCAAACGCGTTTGATATTAGACTCATCTGTCACGAATGACAAATGTTGTTCAAAACTTCCGCGCACACTAGGAAATTCTGTCGATCGCACTTGTCACGAATAACAAGTACGCGCGGCAAGTTTACCAGTGTGCGGCGGGCTTAAGCTTGGAGGGTGAGTCAGCCCCACATCCCCCCTCAGGATACGCCCCCAAATTTGGTCATAACAGTATGCTGCTCATCAGTCAACTTCACTCATCACATACCAATTTCCAACAGCCATTGATTTGCTACATTTTCAGCAAAACTGCTAATATCACGACCAACATCAATTCAACATTAACATACACTTCAGAAAGTTCATCTAAACAAGAAACGAAAGATTATTGGAAACACAATGCTATGAATCTCGTAGACACGTGACCGAGTGCGATCACGCACCTTAAAGTCCCCTCTTCAAGCAAAAAGTCTAAAGTCGTTTAATTAATTTATTTAAATATGCCAAAATTAGACATAATTGTAAAATATTGTAAAGGAAAATTTTTTGTAAACTAGTCTTAAAGTCATTTGTCATTTAGTCTACGATATTTGATCTCAGATATTTGCATTTGGTGTACGATATTTGACCACATGAAGCACTGACAAAATAACCGGGGTAAAGGGAATCGTTCGAAATTCAACTTAAGAGTGAAAATTTATCAAATTTCCTCCCACAAAATATATATCTTCCTCACCAAGGGAGGGAGTTGTACTTCTGTCTGGGACCGACTCTTGTAATGTTTGTATTTGATAGAGAAGCTTACAATTTTCGTTCTCTATCAGTTTCTGAACAGAAATTTTGCATACATTTCAAAAAAAAGGAAGGTATTCCACCACCAGAGCCACCCCAAATATTTACCCCTGCCAAGTGCTAAAGCTAAGTTCTTAAGCAATATTTGTGATGGTCACTAAATTAACTTAGAAACAATTTTTTATTTCAGTAAAGAGGACCTGAACAACAACGACCTGAGCGATTTTGTTTCTGAACACCAGTTATTGAAAAAAGATGAAAAAGGCGACATGGTGGGAAAACAAGCATGTCAGACTCTTGTGGAAACCACGGCACTCATAAGCGAAGGATTTGTCGACGAAACGCTTTATGCTGAAACGATCACAGCCGAGGAGTTGGCACGAAATTTAACAACAATCAAAAAAGAGGTTGAACTAACGAGCGGCGAGGAGAGGTGAAGACATTTGAAGTCCATTTCGTCAAATCTACGGTAAAAGAAACTACATTGACTATGAATTTATATCCGCCCTTTTCAATTAAAAATCAATGGGAATAAATTTAGTAATTTACGTTAGGATAATTTTTGTGAGTAATTACATTAATATGATAATTTGGACTTGTTAATACATTCTAAAGTAAACAGATTTATCGTAAGCATTTTTCTCAGAAATTTAAAGATAAAAGTGATGTCATTTTGCCAACGAGCCATAGAACATCGTCTCTAACCTGACATTGCTCGTGTGTTGCCCTAAGCATTCTTCAATTAAGGATCAGAATGCTTAGGACAAGACGTCAAGTGTGCGACAAATTCATGTAGTAAAATTTATTAGTGGCAGGAGCTGATAATTACAACATGCTCCTATATGGCCAAATTCCCTAACCCACGTGATTTGACGTACATGAAGTATATTGTTGTGTTGTTGAAGACTGAGGTGCAGGCTCAGATAAAAACTGATAAAAAGTTGAATCAGCAATCATAAAAGAAAATTCATTTTTAAATCAAAACATAACTATAGCATGCAAATTTCACCTATCTTAATTGTCCTCTTCAAATTTTCAAGTTTTGATCCTTACGCATGAACATAATTGTTGAAGATCTTATACAATTGTGTATATCACTTAAACAAACACCTCCTATGTCGAATGTGGTTTTTGTTAGTGAAAAATCGTACTTGGAATAATTAAACCAATTATTTTTGTAATATTTTTGATACGTAAAACGATTGCCTGTATATAGCATTGATGTAAAGAAATTTTAGAAATATTAGTTGGACTTCAATACTTTTTATTTTTGGTGACAAGATGATAAGGAGTAGCATAAAGGACGGATAAAAAATTATAAGGAGTAGTATAAAGGATACAAGATGATAAGGAGTAGTATAAAGGAGGATACAAGATGATAAGAAGTAGTATAAAGGACGGATAAAAAATGATAAGGAGTAGTATAAAGGAGGATACAAGACGATAAGGAGTAGTATAAAGGAGGATACAAGATGATAAGGAGTAGTATAAAGGATACAAGATGATAAGGAGTAGTATAACGGAAGAACAAAAGATAATGAGTAGTATAAAGGAGAAGTATAATCTAAATCTGAAGTAATCAATATTTGACCAAATGGTCACTGTTTTGACACGTGTAGAAAATCAACACATCATTACCACAGTACAGAACACACAGATGATCATCTCCATTGATTTGTCACTCAGCCAGTACTCAAAACAGAGTAAGCTGCCATGTCCCCTCCCCCCTCTCTCCTTCACCTTGATACATTCAAAATGACTGACAGAAGATTGCCTCTGTCTCTAATACCTTCACACAAAAAATACTTTAACATGTTTGAATGCCGACATAGCTGAAAGACAAACATTTGTAACTCAATGGGCTTGAGTTCCCTGTTTCCCTCAACTACTTCCCTGTAAAAACGAACATGTTATCCAACTCTAGTTCGACAAAGGTAAACCAGACATCAAAATTAAATAAAAAACGCAATAAAGGAGAAAAAGTTCCTTCTGACATCTTTAGTCGAACAAAAACCATTTTCTCATAATTCAACATTTTCACAAAATGCAAAATGACGCAAAATTTCCCCTCTCCCTCGCTAAATACAGAACAAAAAAAGAAAAATGATGAACTCAGTGGGTAAAGGGTAAAATTGTGCTGATTACACGACCAAATGACAGCTAGTAAGATAAAAACAGAAAGGTATGAGTAAAATACGAAAAAAAAGGCAATAAAGTTTGAAAAAGTGAAGAGTTCAAAATCATTTTGCGAGCTAAAGATTAACGGCAACATGCAATGCATGACACTTTCGTGCGCAAAATGTGCTCATGACTGACTAGTAATCCTAAACTGAAAAATATTCTGCAGAATCGAAAAATTCTAAAAACATTACTTCAATATAATCGTAGAAATTAGCCAGATGCATCCATTGCTTTAAAAATTTGCTCAACTTCCATGACTCCAAAATAAGCTTGCATCACTTTCACAACAACAACTTTTGTCGAGCTCGCAAAGTTATCTGAATTGTCGCGCACGAACTGCGCCATTTCGTGTTTATTGAAAGGAACAGCAATAAAACGATCGTGTTCGAACTTATCCTTGCAGGCACCAGTTGAAAACCTTGAGTTAATAGAGGAGAATGTTAGACGTCGGTCAGCGGCTATCCGTTCATCTAAAAGATTAACAAAACCACACATCCCCCACTCATGGTTGTCATATTTCAGATAAACAGTAGTCAAACATATAGCGTCCAAATCGCTTCCCTGTAAATTAATTCCCAGTTCCTCGTTCAAACCTCTTGCTGAGGTTTTTACGAGGTCGACGTAAGTTTTTCCATCAACTTTTTTCACGTAATCGTTTGTTGAACAACTTTCAACTGCACCACAAGTAAGGATCCCTGGTCCGGCAATTCCATCTACAACACCGAATAAAATAAATTTCAGCAAAAGCTCATTTTTACATTACCTTTAAGACATTCACATTCAGTTCTATGATACCACACAAATGCAGTGATATGCAAGAATCTTAATGAAAAGAGAATCTCAATGATGCAATCGATGATAAACCAACCTCTTTTAGCTCGAGACGTGAAGATAAACATTCCGTCAGCCGTAATTACAGCAATATGAAGACCAAATGAAGTGCTAAAATGACGATGAACTGACGTTTTACACGGCAAATGTTCATTTTGAGTTTTCTCATCAAAACTCTTCCACACATCTCTCATGGCACGATGATGCACATATCTCGTTTCTCTCATCTTTAGAACAACACGTTGTTCTTCATCTTCTCCTTCCCGGGGGGTGGTGAGATCACTTAAAGCAATGAGAACGTTATCATCTATCTTGTTATCTTTCGCTGCCTAAAACATAGATATGAATACAGATATAATCGTGACGTAATCAAAAATACAAGAACGTGTTCTTCATGAATCAAAAACACTAACATTCCTCCAATAATTAAGTCTTTTCAGATAATCTTCATTATAAAAAAAATGAAACATTTCATCGCTTCTTTTATCGTCTCTTTCATCATCAGCCTCTAATTCGCACAACAAACAGTCACGTGGGTAGCCTTGAAAATAACCAGTACCTGAGCTTCTCATTGACTGAAATATAAATGGCATTCATTGAACATAAAAGATGGCAAGAATTGACTGTTCTTGTGAAAATAACTGAAGCTAGAATATATTATTCTTGAACACTTCCTTTGGTTAGGATTTGGTATTATAAAAAGTGTTTGATCATGTTTTCATATATGTTTTTTATGTTTTACCTCATCAACTAGGCTGTCAGCGATGACGATTTTCGTATTTTTTAAAAAACCACAAGTAAAAAACTCTGATGTTTGCATCGTAACAGTATAAGGATTTATCTGGTGAGCTGAAAAATATACACAAATCATTAAAATCATGGTGTCATTCTAATTCGTTATTTGAGTCTGTGCACCTGGGCTGCCCAAATACATTTATGGTATTGAATTGAGTTTAAATCATCCTGTCTACATCGGTAGGAGATAAGACATATAAGCACAACAACATTTCTTACATCATTTACCTTCAAAAGTGTTTTCAATCACTTCATAAGCAGTAGGTCGATCATTTGGTTCCCATATTAAGCAATCCTCATATAGTTTCCTCAAAGGACCATCCTCCTCAATGTTCTCAGGATATTCAGGCAAGTCAAAATTTGACCTTTCTAACTGGACAGCATGTGAAAATTCATATGCCCATGGTTTATCACCGGATATCATAAAATGCAAGACAAGACCAAAGGAGAAAATGTCACTTTTCATGAATGATTCAACATTGCTGCAATTATTGCTTTCTAAAATGTAAATTTCATTAAAGCACAATCATTGGGTCAAAGATTTTTTCATGCTAAAATTGAGAAATTGTGTTACCAAAAATTTCCGGTGCACACCATCTATTATGCAACTTTGCATTGATATCATTGGACTTCTTATGATGAAAAGCAAGACCAAAATCTGCCAATTTCAAGCGCATTCGCTTCACACCTTTCTCAAGCTGCAATGTTTTAAGAAGTTTGCTGAAATGATGTGGAGGTCTTTAATACTTATAATACATCACCATACCATGAATTCCTCAGTGCCAAGTAATAGAATTTTTTTAACATTATTGTTTCTGATGTTTGCAAAGCAAATTTCTAATTTGACTTATACCACAGACAGTGTATTGCAGTCCAATCTAAAGTGTGTTTGTCATAAATTTAATGCTTGTTGAACTTACAATACACACTTTGGATTTATGTGAAGATACTGACAGATTATAGCCTATTTTGAAAATGAAAACTACATTATTTGTGTATATCCTAAAGGGCACAATTTGTACAAGTCATTGATACAGTTCAACTTACCAAGATGTTATCAGGCTTCAAATCTCTGTGTGCGATTGAAAAACTGTGCAAGTAATATAGGCCACTCATAATCTGCTCAGCAAAATCCCAAACTTGACTAGAAAGCAAACCTTTTACTTCTGGCGACTTCAAACCATCAACATGTGAGCATAGGTTGTCAGGAATATATTCCATAACTATCATGCAGCTACCTTCCTTTAGATTATATTTTGCAATTTCATTTCTTAAAGTGACCATTCCACGATATGCAACAATATTGTCATGTCTCAACAGCCTGACATTTCAAATAAATAAGAAATTACAAGTCTTTCTCCATACAAACAGCATAAAATGCTAATACTTTTTGAATACTGAATGTGCATGCAAGAGTATCTTAAATAGAGCTAATGAAACCAGATCATAACCTTAAAATTTTCACTTCATTTGTTGCAGATGAATTCAATTCGTGAAGTACTTTGACAGCAACTGTTGATCCTTTCGTCTTTGCTTTGAAAACATCCCCAAATGCACCATGACCAATAGGAAGTAATGATTTCGTGATATCATCATGATCAATGTTTTCCAGTTCTATAAACAGCAAAAGCTTTTTCTCAAGTAAATGCCATATCCACTTTGAACATGGCAAGTTGACTTGAAAGTAAGATGATGTGCATACAAATTTTAGGAGGTCATAAGGGAAATCCTGCAGGGACAATCAATGCCTAATTTTTCTAAAGATAACAGAACTGTTGGCTCATAAAAAGCAATTTCTTCACTTAGCAGCAAAAAATGGAGGTAGAACAACTACCACCGTCCACCTACAGTCCATATTTAACTTTAGTGACAGGATAAACTGACCATGCTATGCTGGTTTATCCTTAAACTTTAATTTAATCCATCCTCTCTACATTACAAACTAAATATAAAAACAAATACCTTGATTTCTTTTGTGCTCCAACACCAATTTGACACATTCCTTGATTGTTTTCTGGCTTTCAATGATTTCTTGCAAAACTTTTCGATCTTCTTCAGTGATAACGCTTCGCAAGCGGTATAAGATACTATGCAATTTATTAACACAGTTATTTATTATTCCCTCAACATTTTCACTATCAAAATTACTTTTCAATAAGGTGTCAGGCATTTCTTACAAAACAAAAAAGAGTGAGCAATTCAAGGATTATACAAAGTTTTCTGCCAAATGTATGTCTCGTACGTCATCAAGTTTTATGAAACAACCACCTGCGAACAGGTATGGCGGAAATTTCATAGTACCGTGAAGTATTGTTATGATTGTTATTGTAAGATTTGTTCGTTGGAAGATTACTTAGCAATCGCTTCATAAACAATAGAAATGGTGCACGTATTGCACAAACATACGAAGAGAATTCATGTAATTTAACAACCAAACAACCTCTGACAAAA